CATCACTTGATACGTATCCTCTCCTATTTCTCTTATGTTTTTAAACTTATTTGACATACATGCAACGCGTGCCTTCTGTGCATTCATTATTTTAGTCTTTGCGTAATTTTGTGTATTCATTGCATCGTAACCATATGATCCATTAAGTGAAATCTTGCAAAATAAACTTTTTCCTTTATTTCCTTCTAATTCAGCCTTTTGTCTTTCGTTCATAAATTCATTCGCAAATTCATTAAAACAAGTATTTTTCGTAAATGTTAAAATTGATTGAATGTCATCAATGATAAAATGAAATCTGTCTATTAGATACCAAAGATAATAAGAAGAAAATGGTTGATATTGGTTGTGTGTTGATGCTAACTGAGTTAATTTCCTCTGTTTCTGGTCAACTGGTAGATTGTTTGATTTCATGTAATTATACATAAAACCACCAATTGTTTTTTCATCTGTGATAATATCAAAGTTTCTTATTATTGGTAAAAAGTTTATGTAATCATTAATGTATTTTTCATCAATGTGACCCTTTACTTCAGCCACGAATAAAGTATTTTTCTTCTTAATTATTCCCAGTGCTTTTGCTTTCTTTGTTGCTGTATCACAAATGATAACACCATTCAATCTTCCCGGCATATACATTTTATGGTCAGTATATTGAATGAAATCATGAGGATTAGATGAAAATGATGAAGGATATAATGAATTAAAGTCAACACCAACGAAATGAGTCATAATGTTGGAAGTGTCCTCATTTGATACAGTTTTAGTTTCTGGATTATATGAAAGTTTATTAATGTGCGTGATTCCTTTAAGATTTACTCTATGTTGAACATTTGATAAACCACCAGTAATTCCATTACGGAGGATGTGATAAGCTTCAACTGAATCTAGAGTCATTGGTAAATTATTTTTTAATGTATAATTTCTTAAATTGATTCTTAAACGTTGAACATCTTCATCTTTATTTGATTTTACGACATTGCAATAACAACACATTAACTGACAATTTTCTTTGGTATGTGGTTTTTCATTATCGATTCTATCTAATGTTGGTTTATTAGCATATGTAAACGCTTTACCACACATTTTGCATTTAGATGAAAGGATTAAATCGTGATAGTATTGATAGTCATCCATTGAAACATTGTTTTTAGTATCCCTTTCTGCTTTTTCATCTTGTTTCTTATATGAATCAATTTTATATTTCCAATACTTTTTTGTTAATTCAAAACTTGATTCCACATTTTCTTCTTCTGGATATGTTTCGTTAGGATTGAAGTTCTTATATGCTAACGCGTAACGAATCATTGATGCATTCGATGATAAAGAAAGATTATGAAGCATGTCAATTTTATAAACAAATGTTTCTTCAATAATTTTATCAATTGGGTCAATCATAATTTCAACGTCTTTATTGCAATAATGAATAAAATATTCTAATCTATTCTCAAAATTTTTAGCATCATTGAGATATATTTGATAATCTGAATCGGATATTGTTTCTTGAGTTAATGCTGAATAAAATGAATCTTGAGTGAATGGTTCCACTTTATATAATTCATCTTCGTAATTCTCCCATGTGATGAATTGATAAGGGAAAAAGGATTTAACACGTGATTTATTGTTTCCGAAATCTTGAGTGAATTGGTCTAATGTTCCACCCGCTATATAATTTCTGATGTCAATAAATCTTAATTCATATGGACAGTTTGTTTTCTTTACAATGATTTGCTTAAATTGAGAAGAAGAACCCAGCATTGATTTTATTTTCCATTTTGCAGTGTTTAAATCACGAAGAATTAAATTTAAATCAAACTTTCCCGAATTAAAACCTATGATATTCACTTTATTGAATTCCTCATCTAGAAGTTCTTTAAATGCTTCCTTCTGTTTTTCATTTAATGTATGGGACAAAGTCCCCGCCGTTTGGTCCGTTTGCGGCTTCATTAATTCTTCATATTGTTCAATATTTGATTTAGCAACTAATGAACAGGTTGAAAATAAAAATTCAATCCAATCAGAGATGAACGAATCACTTGATGTTAAGCAAAAATTCCTCGTAAATGTTTTATCACGGTCTACGACCTCGCCGCTTCGGTCTGAAAGACCTTCAGGACTCAAAGAGTCCGTTTGCGGCTTTATTTTGACAGTTGATGATACCATAAATGGTTTTAAGTAAGCGTTCAAAGTTGCACATTCAGAAAGTTGAAGTTCTTCTTTAGTCTCTAATGTTTCGAAGTCAAAAGTAATATAATATCTTGTTGGTTTATAATATTCCTGCAAATTATGTGCTAATAGCCATTGATATATCTTCTGTTTCGTGATATGTGGTGCATATGGTTGTTGTGTGTTTTGCAATTGAACGTCTTGAATTAATCTTCCATTATTTTCTTTACATTTCTCACAATGCTTTAAAAATCTTCTTTGGTTTTTCCTTTCTGGGTCATCACGGATAGAATATACTTCTTCTTTGCAAAAGGGGCAAACTTTATATCCTGTGAGTGCTTCAACGTCTGTAATTCTGTCAGCGTGAAGTTTTCCACATGGACTCTGTGTTAATAAAATATTTACTGTTTCAAATTCTGGATCTATCATTATTGATTCCACTAATGGAAAGTCTACCTTATTTATGTCTACGTCTTCTGGTTGAGGGTCACAATAATAAAAATCAATATTAACGTTTAACATTCTTGCTAACCTCTCACTTTCTGATGAAATGTCAAATCCTTCATATGCATCTATGGCTTCATTTAAATAACTTCTACGAGTTTTAGGATTAACACCATCAGGAATGTTATAGAAGCGTTTAAATAACCTTCTACCTTCGGCTCTTATTTGATTATCATTCATTTTAGCTGTTCCGTTTTTGTTCATTTATGTAAGAATAAAAAATTAAAAAATAAATAAAAATAAAGTTTATTTTTTTTAAAGTCCAGGGCTAAAGTCCATAAAATGAATTAAGAACACATAAATTTTTATCATCTGCGACGTGACGAATACATTTTAATTTACTCAAGAATGCGTACCCTGATACATTAAATCTAATTCCTGTCTTATTTAATTTCACAACTTTGAAAAGGAATGTATGAATAGCTATAAAATGATGAGATGATGTTTTATGGGTTGCTTCCATTTTTTCTGAAATAAATGAATAAATATAATGTTTATAAGTTTTCATATCTTTTATATTCTTAATAACGAATGGTATAGACCTTTCAACTTCGTCTTCCTTCGGTGCTGTTCTTTCATATGAAACATTATTAGTATCTTCAATAATGAAACCACAATCGCATAAAATTTTATATGTACCAATTGTTTCTTTTGATATTTTATCTAACAAATCAAAAACTTTATCAACACCTGCACATTTATTTAAATAATAATTTGTGTAAATATCATGGTCTTCTTTCTTAATCGTATTTGTTGCATATGTTACATTTTTCAGTGCTTTTTTGAATTTTTCAGAATCAAGAGGAGGTGAAAGTAATATACATGGATAATCTCCATCGTCAATAAATTGTAACTTATGTTTATGAATAAATTTTGTGCCTTCTTCTGAAAGTGTTTCATCTATTTCACCATCTAATAAATTTTTAGTAGATTCCAAAAAGTAATTTTTATATCTTTCTTCATGAGATTTTTGAACTTCTGATTCTGAAGCTGGGATATTCATTAAACCCTCTACTTCATTCTCATTATATTTTTCAACTTCTCTTAATTCCTTAATTTTTTCATCTATTTCATCTCTTATTTTTTCCAGTCTTTCAATTTCATCATATTCATCATCTTTAATCCGTTCTTCATAATATTCAGGGAAAACATCAGGTTCTTTAGGTTTTTCTTCTTCAGATGTGGGATATAAGAAATTTATAACATCATCTTTATTCATTTTTCCATCATAATCTAAATCATTTAATAACTCCGCGAATTTTTGACAATTTCTTAAATAATATTTATTAACTTCATAACTCGCCTCCTCTAATATATCCTTTATTTCCTCGTTTGTGAATCCCAATTTTTTAACGTCGTTAGTCTTGACACTCATTTTCATACGAATTAAAAAAATAAATTATTCAAAAAATGTAAGACATGAATTTTTAAAGTTTATTTTTTTATTTTTTTTATTTTTTTTTATTTCATTATGTATGGGTTTAGTGAAAATTTCTTACGATTCTGAAAATTTTTAAATCTTGATTTATTCAAAAACGTAAGAATAAAAACCGTAAAAATCATACATTTTTTACTTCATATGTAAAAAAAAATGATACAAAATCGCTCAAAAATGTATGAATTCTTACGTTTACAAAAAAAGTCACAAAACCCTTCAACATATACTACTATTCAAACTAACTAATAGGAAGTTAGTCCAACAAAAGGATAAATATTAGAACATTGTACAAATCTAGAATAATCATTCATTAAATGATCTTTACATGTAAATCAACAAATATTATTTTTGATAGTATGATTTCTCTAAGTTGCTTAGCCAGAATTTTGATGTTCTTCGTAGAACAGTTTCCTATTAGGTTTGTATTATAGATCCATCATCAGAAAATATTAGAATCGAAAACTGTGGGAAAAAATTTTTGCAGTGCTACGTTTTGGTACAGGAATTATATTTCATTATATCATAACTTTCTGATAATGTTATATTCTATAATTCATAAATCAGCTGGTTGAGGCGGCCTTTAAAGTTATTGGGATTAAATTGAAAAGCTGTTGTTATTAAAACCAATCACGTTACTTCTTATCCAAAGCAATTTTGACTCTGATTCTTAATATTGATTTGGTTATTTAAGAAAGAAGGCCCTTGTCATACTTTAGAACTAAGTGGGGTTTTGGCTTGCATATCAGAGCAAGAAAGTTTATGAAATGTGAGCAAATCTTTCCCATCTCTGAAGTATTTTTTCGTAATTTGAAAAACCATTGATCACATATTAAGCATATCATTCTCGCCATTTAGTTCAATCAGATTTCCCAAATCGAAGAAAAAAAAATTCAGAATGGAGAAGGAATTTTTCGCTCTTGCACGAAAGCAAGGCGAAAATCCTCGCTTCTTCGTTCATGCCATTGATCTAGAAAGCAAATCCAAGAAATATGTCTTGATAACAGATCAAAGTTTTTGGTTTGCGCGAAAAATAGATCATGTCAAGCATTCAATCTATTGTTGGTTGCTGCTAACCAAATTATACAAGACAGAAGATACCATAAGTATGATATTTGGTAAAAATCAGATCAAATTCGAAACAGATAAAGTTGATGAAATTTTTGAAGTCTTATGGGATATTCTTCCAAGAATATTTAGACCTACTGAACTCATATCTCTAGGATATTTTACAGATCCCGATGAAAGGCCGCCTCCAACTTCAAATTCTGTAATGATTCGATTAAATCTTCGACAAAAGCTTCTTGGAAAAGAATATTCATCCCAAACCATACAAAGGATCCAAGAGATCTTAGAATATTCCGAAGAATACATTGATTTAAACTCATTTTCAAACAAATCCGAAGCTTTCCCTGTATTTTTCGATTTATTGCCATTATGCTACAATATATTAAGTATTAAGATCACCTCAAGCGAAAGCATCAATGCTTATAAAGTTCTTCGCGATGTAATCACAGAACCATCGAATTTAGAGCATATGGAGATAGTTGGACCATCAACTCATCATTTTGATTCTTTTCTAAGGAAATTGACTCAGAACAAAAATATCCCAATCGCAGGCTTAACTTTTACGAATTCAAATTTTTCCGAAAAAAATATTCTTTCGATTATCAAATGTTTTACGGATAAATACTTGTGTTCGGTAGGATTTCACAATGCAATAAGCAGTAGCTCAATAGATTCATTATATTCCGCATTTTTCCCAAAATTTTGCAATAAATTAACAGCTCTTTCATTAGATCATACGAAAAACCTCAATTTAAGCAAACTCAACTTCGAATTTACCAATCTCGAGATGATTTCTTTGAAAGAATGCGATTTAGAAATTTATGAAATATTAAAAGCGATAAACAGAGAACATTTCGTGAAATTAAGAGGTTTAGACGTTTCTTACAACAAATGTACCAAAGCCGCGGACGGATTATACGATTTACCGCCAACTTTGATGACAATCGTCGCCGCAGGTATTAAATGGCCCGAAAGTAAGTTAGTTGAGTTCTTCAAAATTATTACGATCAATGATCTTCAAAAGAGAATTGATTTATCAGCAATTGAAGCTTCAGAAGAAGATATGACCAAATTATACAATTTTATGAAAGAAAAACAATTCCCACAACTCAAAGCATTGATATGGGATGAAAACTACATCAATTCTGACTTCTTTGTCTTTCTAAATCAAAATCCCCAAATTGAATTTTTATCTTTGAACTATTGCTTCTCTGAGAAGGACCAAAAGTACGTGGATAGTCTTTGTAAGTTCATTTCTTCATCCAATGTCCACGCAATATCAATCCAAGGCGATGAAAAAAATCACATTGGCGAATTAATCATTCCCATCATTAATTCCGCCTGTTTGTCCAAGACATTGGAACATATTAACCTAGAAGGAAGTTATTGTGGCGATAAAGGCCTCTTTGCCGCTCAAAAAATTTTGATTTCGGATACTCCAATTTGTTCTTTGAATTTGGAAGGGTCCCACCCCAAATATCCCCAGTCATTATTTTTCTTCTTGTATAAAGCGGCCGGCGGAGAGCGTGGAATTGCTGTTTCGTTCCCTTTGGACGATATCAACGAATTATTTGAGAAAAAACAAGTCACAAAAGGCCAAGTTGACTGGATAAAGACATTATATAAACACCAGCAACCGACTGTTAAAGAAACAATGTCTCCTTTGGAGTTTCCATTTGAAATTTACCGAGAAAATTGGAAACCATACTTTCCTTTGTATTTAAAGCCTGTTGGACCTTCCCCTGATGGCGTAAAGACTGAGGACATGTTTAATACTGACTTCTTGTCCGATGAAAGGACTCAGTTGACGATTTCTGTCGATGGAGATGAAATTAAATTAATTCCGATCCAAAAAGAAAAGGAATCTTCACCGGTAATCAAACCACAAAAATCGGAAGATATCAAAACCCTTGAAACAGCCGATCTTCCTAAAGAAAAACCAAAATCAAAATCATCTAATGTGAAAAAAGTGGTTTCCAAAAAGAAGAAAGTGGTTAAACGTAAGCGGGAATCCTCATCGAAAGAGAAGTCCTCATCAAACAACTCTCAAAACAAAGGCTCGAGTTCAAATAAAGGATCTGAAATTTCGACCTCAGAAAAAGGATCGTCAAAGAAGAAGAGTAGATCTTCTTCGGGACATTCCGGGTCGTCTAGGATACTTTCCAGCTCTTCCGGAGCGAATATCAACTTGGAATCTTCGCCAAGAAGGGATTCGAGCATTTTGAGTGGTTTGGATGGAAGCAAAGATGACTTCTACTTCATTTGGGATTTCCCTTCTGTTTGTAGACTCAATTTTGACGAAATTGTCCAAAAGATTTATACAAAGGCGGAAGAAAATTATGAAATTAACTTGTTAACGGAACTTATACCAAAATAGAATTATAAATTTGTATTTTTTGTTTTATATATAAATTTTCATTTTAATATTTAGTTTGTTTTTGATAAATCTAGCAATCGATTAATACTATTTTCGTTATTCACCCTCTTGATTTATTCAAATTGCATTGATACTAAAATTATAAAAAAATAATAATATTATAAAAAATCATTGAAATCATAATCTTATCTATGAAAATAGGCCTGGACAAAATCGAGAAAAACATTACCGTGTGGTAAAATAGAGTCAAAAAAATCGCTTTTGATGAGGAATACACATGGACTTATCATCGGTTACCATATGAACAGGCCTAATGAAAAAGTAGTTTTTATGTTTCAATTTGGTAATAAAAATATTTTTATTAAAAAAACATGGAAATTCGCATTTAAAAATCCAAATTAAAAGCATCAAACAAATCTCCGAATGCATCATTGTATGCATCGATTTGAACTTCGCTTGAAATTGTTTCAATTAGTGGAGAATTAACATTTGATTGGCATTCACCAGACAATTTTGCCAATGATGACCATCTATTTTTGATATTTATCTCTGATCGGTTTTTGAAGTATCCCTTTAACTGAGACCATTTGGGTCCAATTTTTTTATATAAATCTTTTAACAAATCATCTTCTTGGTGTGTCCAAGGAGCATTGACAATTCCTGGAGCTAAGTAATTTTTGTATCTTTCACGTACCTGCTTCGGAGACCTTCCATCTAATGCATTTGCAATTAATTTCCAATTTTTGTCCTTTTGCATATTCACCATTGAGTAAATGATCATATCTTCTTCAAGTGTGAACATTCTTCTATTATTCTTGCTGAGTTCACCTTTTTGAGAGGACTTTATTGGGTTCATCTTCTAAAAATATGGAAACGGTTATACGGATAATTGAAGCGATATTAATCCAATCTCATTGTAATCCATTCAAATAAAAATTCTGCTATTCGAAATGAATGCATATGACTGAAGGAATATTTAAAAATTAATATGGGAAATTACCTATTCAACAATTTCAAATAGTTATTCAATCGTAATGATCATAAATTTTTAGCAAAGTTATCAAATGAAGATAAATTTTAAATGTTCGTTAAAAAGGTTACAATTTAAATTCAAGCACGGCAAAAATTGAAATATTATCAAAATTTGAGTTTCATTATTCAATGAGTATAGTTTTTGTTTGGTATCTTCTATTCAATTAGCATGAATGGAAGATAATGATTGAATTACCTGAATACATTACTGTTCGATTAACATATATTATTAATATGCAATTTAAAGGGAAAAATATGAATTATTTTAAAAACAATAACTTTATGTTCAATCAGTAACCGGATTTTAATAATTGATAATAATTATGTCTACAAAATTACTAAAAAATTGGAGATAACAAAAAAATTTTCAAAAGATATTAAAATCAAAAAATTATTGTAGAATACTATTAGGAATATGCCCTATAATATAAGTGACATATAATATTTAATAAAATATCAATTTTAAATTCAAATTAAATATTTAAAATATATCTTCAATAATGGCGTTAGTGGATTAGTGCATAATATTCGATAGATTAGTTTGATTATTTTATCTGAACGTCATTGGTCTGATCTTGATATAACAAGATCATTGTTAATGGTTGAAAGAAAAAGGGGATATAATAAGCAAAGATAATGAGAATATATTATAGGCAGCAAAGATTCATAGATCTTGTACATATATTTGTCGCCTAACCATGACAAAAGATGAAAAGAAAGAATTTAGAATATAACATCGGATAATATTTAGATTGGATTATTGTATGAAATTATATGTTACAATATATTTGAAGTTTTAACAATAATGAATAACGAATGGAAAAATGAATTTTAAAAAGTATCATATATTTGGAATAAATAAGGGTTTCGTTTTGCTAAAATTGTCACTTTTATAGCTAATTAATTTTTGGTTGTTTTGCGAAACCTAAAAAAAAAATTCGATAGTCATGCTTATAGAACCCTCTTGCTATTGTGTCAAAATTGCGAAACCGATAGCAAAAATATCTCGCAATATCAAAAATGAGACATTTGGTGAATTATGCATTATACAGATTGAAAATATGATTTTTGAAAACATATCATCATTTTATAGCTAAATCGAAAGTAATTAATATCATATTAGATTAAAATGAAAAAGGAATAGTATCGTTATGCTTTAAGTGGCAGTTTTATAATATAATCATAATTTTAGCTCAATATACAACACCTTTTCGCAATATATGGTTAGCAACCTAAATTCTGATTGTTTTGAATTCATATATCTTACGTTTTCTATAATTACATCGCTATTCATCACCATTTCTATCTTTATCATTATTGTTTGTATCTAATAATTTCTCAAAAAACATTAATACTAATATTTTGTAAATATCATACTTTATAACGTAAAAAAACATTACCTTATTATGAAAAAAAAATTAAGAAAAAATGGTAAGCTTTTATAAATGTAATTTTAATATCTTATATTCAGAAACTAGTAAATAAAGTACTTATTTTATACATACAACGTAGGGCATAACGCATCAAATGCTCAAATCTATTTTATTTTTATATAATATATCAATCAAAGCAAATTTACATTGTTTTGTTAGATATACTTTATTCGCATCGAAATTGGCGCGTTTCTTTACAAAAGAGATATTTTTCGTGATTCATAAAATTTTTTATTCAAAAATAACAAAAATAACAATATAAAATAACTTCATACTGAACCAGGTCTAATGTAATTGTACCGGAATCTATCTTTCACTAAAAGAGGAGCTAATTTCAAAATCATTATTGCATTACAAAGCCGATCGCCTGTTCTTGCCCTAAGTCCTGTTAAAAGATCTCTTAAGTCCTTGAAATCTCTTTCACACATTGCTTCTGAAGCTGATATTGATGCGTATTTTTTGATCAAACTTGATAAAAGGGTAACATCGATCTCATCTGTTCCAATAGAAAGAGAAATCCCTTCCATGTAGTCCCAAAGCATTTTAATATCGTAAATTGGATGATTTGGATTGAATTGTCCAGTTAGCCATTTGTCGACAATATAATTAATTTGTTGCCTTTCTTCTTGTGTTTTATTATTGAATACTGCAATGTCTTCAATAAATTGATAAATTTCATTATTATCAATTTTGGGAAACTCAATAATATCATAGTTGAGCTCTGCTTCTGGAAAGAATACTTGATTGAGACTACTATTCTTTGCTTGCCTTGATTGCTCAATATGTATCTCTTCTGCATCCTCATGCAGGATCATTTCTGTTTGAACAGAATCTGAGCCGGTGTTGAGAATTGCAGGCTCTGGCATAACTTCTGTTTCTGCAATAAACTGTCTCTCTGCTTCATAATTGACATCAACATTATTTGGGAGGTCAGTATCATCTTCAAAACGATGGCTTTGATAGCGTACAAATTGGGCTGCTTGGTCGGCTAAACCGTCATTTCTGGCAGATTGTCCGGCCAAACTCTCGTTACTGGACGATTGTCCGGCCAAACTCGTATTACTGGACGATTGTCCGGCCAAATTATTATCGTTGACCGCGAGTGAGTAAACATTAATTTTGGCAAAGCTGCTCTGATTGTAATGAGGAACACTAGTAGTTTTGGAAATTACATCTGTAAATTTTCTTTTGAGTTCTGCTGATGTTAAATTCTTGATTTTTTGATGATTAAGGATTGCATTAGCTTTTTTCAAACAATCTTGCTCACAATGCATAAGATTGTATTTTGTCTTGATTAATTCGAGTGCTTCACGCTTTTGACTGTTCTTCATTCTGTGAAACTCACGTCCAATATATGTGAATACAAAAAGCGCATATTGAATGTAACCATGTTTTGTTTGATACATCCTCTGATCCATCTGAGTTTTGAGGATATCATAGAACAGCTGCAAATCTTGATGCATTACTTCCTGTGTCGATATTAAGGCGGAAAGTGTATATGGGAATACTTGAGCGATCGTAATATTATCGCTTTCGAGTTTCTGTGAAAGAAGCTTGAAGGCTGTTAAGAAGGATACGAGATAAGGAGCGTAAACAAAAAGCACTTTCACGATTCCTTCAATGTGTTCGTGAATTTCTGGAACTTCACGAACATCTGCAGAAACAAGGAAATCGACGATTGATTCGACATGGAAGACTATTCAAGATGCAATGTCATACAAATTTGTCCAACGAGTTAAACAAACTGTTGGGCATCCACCTCCAAGTCGTGATGCAACAGGCTTGCTCGAGAAGATTTTTGAAAACAATTCGACATTTTGGCAAAATTTGTCGAATTTTGGACAGAGTTTTCTTGCATCATTAAGACAAAGGTGAAATGTATGACATCCACATGGAATAGCAAGATGTTCTGGTGCATTTTCAAGGACTGATGCAAGTGCAGACCATTGGACTCTGAGATTGTCTGCTACGAAACCAGCAACATCAATCTGGTAAAATCTTTTGAGAAAATCTGTGATGTGTGAAAGCGCATGTTCATACGCCACTTTAGTACCTGTAAAATTCGGGAATGTCTCTAATGGCATTGGCTTGAGCTGAGATGTTGCGCACATGATTGAACTCGTAAGATATGATCTTTTACCGAGCTTTCCGGCATCGATCGCAACACCCACTGATTCTTCCTTTTTAAACTCCTTTAGCCAAAGATCTTTGTGCATTTTGGCCACACAAATAAAACGTTCTTGGAAGGAAGTACGTCTTGGGAGGTGACTGTCCAAAACCGCGCTCATATTACTAGTTCCTATATGTTTACGTCCAAGGTGCATTGCCATAATTAGAACATTACGGAACAATTGATCATCCACCAAATCCATTGGTAAACTCCTTGAGGCAAAGAGGTACATAATTGCCAGTTCCATTGTATTTAAATCTTTTATACTTTTATCACAATCTTTTAAATCTTCAAAATATGCTTTGACATCCGGATCAATCTGGGGATTTTGACCTTGCTGGCCTTGATTTTGTTGTGTTTGATCTTGATGGTCATCTTGATTCTGGTTTTGGACATCTGTACGCCTTGTTACATCGTAAAGTGTAGGTTGGCCAAAATAGTGCTGATGTTTGAGTGGATATGCTTCAGGATCTACTGTAGGCACTATCTGAAGATGATATTTTGCGATATAGAAATCGCACTGGATGTCATTTTTAAAATGATTACACTGTAAATATGCATGATTTGATTCATCGTAACAGTTAACAAAACCTTCAGGTGGTGGCTCTCGAGAGTCCGCCAAGGTAAGTTTCTTATATTTCTTATGGAGATATTTCCCAAGTGGTCTTTTTGTCATTAATCAAAGTAAATGAACGACCAAGGTATTCAAAAAGTGGCCGAAAAGAGAGGAGAGAAAGAAAAGTAAAAAAGGAGTAAAAGAAATGACGATATTTCCACGTCTGATCGGTATTTTTCGATTCTGACTGCAGAAATCGATTTTTTAGGGGATGTAGATATTATTTATCACGAAAAAATATCTCTTTTGTAAAGAAACGCGCCAATTTCGATGCAAATAAAGTATATCTAACAAAACAATGTAAATTTGCTTTGATTGATATATTATATAAAAATAAAATAGATTTGAGCATTTGATGCGTTATGCCCTACGTTGTATGTATAAAATAAGTACTTTATTTACTAGTTATATGTTCTGAATATAAGATATTAAAAATTACATTTATAAAAGCTTACCATATTTTTCTTTAATTATTGTTTTTCATAATAGGTAATGTTCTTATTTACGTTATAAAGTATGATATTTACAAATATTAAGTATTAATGTTTTTTGAGAAATTATTAGATACAAACAATAATGATAAAGATAGAAATGGTGATGAATAGCGATGTAATTATAGAAAACGTAAGATATATGAATTCAAAACAATCAGAATTTAGGTTGCTAACCATATATTGCGAAAAGGTGTTGTATATTGAGCTAAAATTATGATTATATTATAAAACTGCCACTTAAAGCATAACGATACTATTCCTTTTTCATTTTAATCTAATATGATATTAATTACTTTCGATTTAGCTATAAAATGATGATATGTTTTCAAAAATCATATTTTCAATCTGTATAATGCATAATTCACCAAATGTCTCATTTTTGATATTGCGAGATATTTTTGCTATCGGTTTCGCAATTTTGACACAATAGCAAGAGGGTTCTATAAGCATTATTATCAACGTAGAATCTGAATATCATATCAGAAAATGTCGCAAATCTGACATTTACCCGACTAAATAGCAAAAATAATTGAATACTTTTCGCAAAAACTTTAAAAATCGATAAAAATATGAAATATAGATATTAAAGAGACTTTTTATATAATATTCATAAAGATTTTCCAAAAATATCACATCGCAATATCAAAAAAGTGACGTCCTCAGTGGAGTCAAGGGTCGAAATTGCTAGCTAAATGTTTTTTTGGCGAAATTGCGTATTGTACGTTTTTTTCGCAAAACGAAACCCTTATTTGTTTTAATGCTCTTATCGATTGTATCAAATTTCATTTTACGCAGAAACAAATATGAAGTCGATGTCAAATAAAATTGTAGCCTATATATTTTGGCTTACCTCTTTTTGGTTAAATTGATTACTATCATGATTCAATATATCTGAAAATTTCAAATAGCTATCAACATAAAATCCTCAATTCTTTGAAAAGTGCGTTATTTATTTTTCAGTGAAACGATGAAAATATTAATTATAATATCATTGCATATTGTTTGAACTTTTATTTTAGAATTGGAAATTTTTGAATGCATAACCATGGATGCCGCAGAAAATTCTTTCCTCAAAGATCAAGGGCTTGAAATCAGAGGAGAAATTGGAAAAGGTGGTTATGGATTAGTATATAGCGTTTATTCCCATGTATACAAGACGATATTTGCCCTAAAAAAAATTCCACTTGATCGATTCAAAGACTGCGAGATAGAGTGCTTCAAGCAAATCGATGACAAGCATATTGTAAGTCTATACAGATTTTTTACATGTGGCAACTCGGCTTATTTATTAATGGAATATTGCCCTAAAGACCTGTGTCAACTAGTCGATGAACAGTTATATTGCATTCTTAGTGAAGAACGCGCTCGCATAATTTATGATATGATTCTCGGAGTAAAAGCTTGTCATGACCGAAATATTGCACATTGTGATATCAAACCACAGAATTTCATAGTTGATCAATACGGACGAATTAAAATTACTGATTTTGGATTGTCATCTCTTGGAACTGATGAAGAGGAAGGAGAGGACCATTTATTCAAAGGTACAAAACACTACATGGCACCAGAAATTTACAAGAAAGAATATTATGATAAATATTTGGCAGATATTTGGGCACTTGGCGTATCAATATATCCATTTAATGCAGATGATACTCCGACCTTGGTCGAAAGAATGAATAGAGGATTATTCCCTGTTGATAAAATTAATGATCTACTTCTCATAAAGTTGATTGCTAAATGTCTTCAACCAAATCCAGCCAATCGTCCAAATGCAACTGAATTACTTCAAATGCCGTATTTCCTTCAATTTGCAAGAACTCATGTGCAGAATAATGTTGTTCACTTCAAGAAAGCTGCAGATGCAATTGTCAAGCCAATGATCCCTAAGGTTAGGTCTTATATGAATATGGGCGGAAAGTTTACTTATTGTAAAAGCCCGGTTCCAAGACTTATAGTATCAAATATTTAAGTTTCTCTGAGAAACTTATAAAATTGTTTGTATATTGAATTAAAAATTAGCAAAAATAAATCGCATTTCACAAGTTTTTCTGTGTGTGTATCGATAGGAAAGAAATATTTCATTATTAATTCAGAGATTTAAAGTCATTGGCTTGTCAAATCTTTAGAAAAGCAAAAAATAACAAAATGAATTGATTTACATGATATAAACAGCATACCCATGTACTAAGGAATACAAATCTGAGTTTTTAAGGTGTTCTATCGAAATAAAAAACGAACCGGAATTTATAGTAGTAGGATATGACGGGTTTAGTGACTTTTTTTGTTACATCTATATATAGATGATGCATTAAAATATATTTATTTATAAATTATTAAAAAATTAACATTAATTTTAAAATAATTTATTTTTTTATCTTTTATAAAAGAAGCTATATATAGATGATGTCAGATATTCCACGATTAATTAAACATTGTTTAAATCCTGAATGGGTTAAACTTCAATTTAAAAATGAAGATTGTGAATTATTAAATGAATATGAAAGCCAAAATAAGCTAATGAGGTATAAATATAATGATAAAGAATATTTAATTTCATGGAATCAATGGAGTCATAATCAAAGACCTCATAAACGAGAAGAAGAAATTGAAAATAATGAAATGGAAATCATTGATGACATTAAAGAGGATGGAATTCCTAAATTTTGTAGAAAAACCTTTAGAACTAAGTTAGGAGCATATAAACGTAGAGTATTAAATCCTGAATACATAAAACATTTATTTAAAAAGGAAGACTGCGAATTATTAAACGTTAATGAATATGAAAATGCTAAATCAAAACTGAGATATAAATATATTGGAAGTGATGAAAGGTGTAAAGATAAAGATAAAGTTTATTCAGTTTCATATAATAACTGGCACACGTTAGGGATAAGAAAACATTTAGGAGATTATGGGAAATGTTCTGAATTCTTTAAATCTAGTATATACGAGAGAGTAAAAGAAATTAGAAATAATTATTTTCATGAATAAAAGATTCACTACCATAATGAAATAAAAAATAAAATTTTTTAAAAATCATTTTAAAATAATTTATTTTATCTTTTATAAAAGAAGCTATATATAGATGATGTTAGATATTCCACGATTAATTAAACATTGTTTAAATCCTGAATGGAATCAATGGAGTCATAATCAAAGACCTCATAAACGAGTAAAAGAAATTAGAAACTAATGATTATTTGAATTTATGAAATCAATTATTTGATTCATTCTTTCTTCAATCTCTTCTATTCTTTTTGTTAAATCATCTATTTTCATTAATGAGGTGATTCTTGATTGAGGAATAGATTTCAAACTAACCACCCCTTTTATTTTTGAAATTTTGAATCCATCAACTTTAAACATTTTATTCAATTTACACGTTGTCAATTCTTCAAATAATTTTTTATTATTAGCATAATAGTCATTAAATTCTTCAACAGATGAAAAAAATTTTATTTCAGTAATTGGTTTAACAATGTTTATTTTTTGTTGAACATTTTCACTCTCATTTATTTCTTCCTCCTCCGTTTCATTTATTTTTAAAATCGGTTTCATTTATCATTAAATAAAAATTAGAATATAAGTGATGAAAATGAATTTTTTAATTAATATTAAATCAGAAATGGCGGCAGGATTCTTTAAAAAATTATGGGATGGAATTAAGAAAGCTGCGGGTTGGGTTTATAAAAAGATTATTAAACCCGTTGCAAACTTTTTGGCACCAGTAGCGAAAACGGCAGGAACTATCATAGGTGGAGTATTAGGTACTAAAGCAGGTAATCCGGCGATGGGAGCACAAGCAGGTAACGCAGTTGGTGGAATTGCTGAAGGAATACTTAATAAAATAGGAGGTAGATAGTGGAAAAATAAATAAATATTATTTTTATCTTAGTATCGGTTGTAGTCTTTGATAAACTTTTTCTCCTTTATTTAAAATTTCTCTTATTGGGGCAGCTTTTGGTGTTATTGATTCAGCAACGTCACTAATTGCTTCTTTATTCTTAAATATCCAATTTGCTCCCTTCTTCAATGTTTCCCAAACTTTACTCGCTCCTCTTTTTACTCTATCCCACAGTTTCTTAAATATACCTGCAGCCATAGTTGATTATTTCATTAAAATTAAAAATTCATTTTCATCTTTTAATTTTGATTTTTTTATTTATTAATAAATGACGACTAACTATTTAGTGCCAAACACCAAACCGATTAATGGAAATGTGTTTCATTCATTCGAAAAGATAAATGAAATATTCGCAAAGAATGACGGTAGAAGATATTATAGAGAACTTGAAAGTTCATGCTATGACTCTGATGCTCCATATTTTGATGATAAACAAACTCATTTAAGAATTACAAATCCGGCTCATGATGTGAACCAATTAGGTGACACATATATTAAACGCAAAGTTAAAGCAACTCTAGTTTCAAATAAAGCTTTCACATGTGATGCCGCTTTTAAATGCATGCGTTTATTCGTTGGTTACAAATCATCAAATCAAAGCTTTAAACAATTAGAAGTAGAAACCGAAAGAGGTGATGCCGGTTATCTTCAGATGGATTGCGCCCGTGAATCTTTCGCATTTGCAACATATAAACCAAAATCAGAAAGGAAAGTTAAAAAGTTTGTTCATTCGTTATATAATAATGTTCAAAAATATGATAACTCAGTATGTGGTAAATATATTGACCCTTCAGAAGTTTTCAAGAAAGCAAATGAAGAAGTTGATGTCACTTTTGATATGATTATTCCGGTAAATGATTTGTTAGCATTTCAGGCGTTCGATGATTATCCTAAATCATTTGGTGATATCATTCTTAAATATTATGTTTTCAGGGATACTTTAGTATTTTGTCAGGTTGACCCGTTAAGAGTTGCTGATTTACAAAATTACGTTTATGAAAAGATAACTGATGAAAATTATGAAAAGATTATGAATCATGTTTATAAATATGATCGCAAATTCCAACAAATCGGACTTCCTGCCAAATTAATTACAAGCTTAGCCGCTACATCTGCTGACGCAACAGTTGATGACGTTATTATTTCATGCACAAAGATGGAAGTTTTAGAGGATAAATGCATTACACCAGGATACGGTTTAATTGAAGAATCAGTTAAAGCAATACCACGTTTATTCAGTAAGGAAGATCCATTCATGATTCCAGCTCAACATATTGACGTTCGTTCACTAAATGGAGGTTGCATCACTCCTGAAGGTATTAGCTCAGATTTCTCATACGCTCTTCATAATGTTACAGATGTTGTGTTACATTTCCGAAGAATGCAATGCAAAGAACAGTTTTAGAAAATCCAATGCTTCGAGGTCTTCAGGTCACTATAGATTCCAGAAACTTCCCCGATCAAGCGATGACCACAGTGGGTGACATATTCTTTACACGTATGCTTCAAGCTTCTGATTTAGATGGAGTGAATGAATGCACGGAAGAATACGAGGACTCATTAACTAGACCACTGAATGCAGATGATGGCACGCCATTAGCTAGAACATGGAAAGACCAAACTTCATTCTTATGCACTATTCCAGTTCAACGTGATGGAGCGGGTATATTCTTTGATGGATTAGAAACTTTCAACTCACAAGTTACAGTACAAGTGAAAGCTTATCCAATCATTCAGGGTGAAAATGACACTTACTGTTCAAAGGTGACAAATCCTCCTCAGGTTTGGTTTACTAGGACTACATATTGGACATGGACACCGGATGAAGGTTTGAAATATCATCCAACAGGTACACCACCACAGTATAGAAGTTCATATGATGAAATATTGATGAATAGAAATGTTTAAAATTATAAATTTATTTTTGATTAAATGGATTTAAATTCATCCACCCCTTATGAAGAATTAGCAGGAGTATATAATACATACGTAGATGATATGATTAATGAAGCATTGAGTGATAATAGAAATGCTCTATCTAAGGAAAAATTAATGAAAATTCCATATTCTGAATGTTACTTAAATTCAATCACTGCAGCAATTGGTAAACAAAATAAAGGTAAAACATTAACGATATTAAAACAAATTATCATTATTGCTAACACTTCCCCCATTCACATGTGTTAATTTATATCAACCGTTCAGGTTCACCTTCAGATGATACATTTGAATCTTTAAAGCATTTAATCAAAATTCCAATTATTTATTTATCACAAGAAGAAGCAGAAGATTATTTAAAAAACTTTTTAATGTATAAAGAATTATATAATACAATCAAGAAGCAAGGATTAGAGGATAAAATTATTGATAAACAACGGGATGAATTATTTGAAACACTTTCTATTTCAAATTTTGATAGAGAATTTTTGCATTCACTCATTTTTCTAGATGATGCAGTGAAATCAAAACTAATAACAAATGAGAAATCATATTTTAATCAGTTATTAACTCAATGTCGACACATTCAGTGTTCATTCTTTATGGCTGTTCAATATTTCAAAGCATTAAGCACAAACATTAAATCAAATCTATCAACACTTTTCATTTTCAGTGGGTTTAGTCGTCAACAGTTGAACGTTATGCTTTATCAAGTGAATTTACCAATGAGCATTAATGAACTTTACACACAATATCAGCAATTAGGTGAACATGGAAAAATAATAGTTGATTTAAATAAAGGAGTGTTAAATTTGATTAACTTTTTATAATTAATTTTTATTTTTTATTTATAATTAAACATGACAGAAATAGCAAATCTTCTACAGGTTCCATTAAAACAAGGGACAAACAAAAAGGGTGCATATAATAGAACTATGAAAGTTCCTGATGGAATGAAAGAATTAGTTCATATTGTTGCTGGTCTTCAAAAAGATGTTAAACAAATGAGAAACGTTTTAACATTACCAGAAGCTCAAGCATATGCCAAACGTCATGGTCCAAATTGGGAAGCACACGAAGCAGACATTACGGGTCCAAATGGAAAACCTGATGGTATAAATGAAGTTTTCGTTACTGATGGTCAAGGTAATATTAAAGTCATAAATGGTTACAAATTAACTATATCTGATTATCCTAAACGTAAAGCATATAATGAACGTTATCCTATGCAATTTGATGAAAATGGAAAAGCTGTTAAACAATACATTGGAGAAGGTGAAAATGGTCCAATTAATTCATACCGTCATAATCCATATTCTTATTTCAATGAAGAATTAAATGCTATTGAAGAGGGACCGGATGGATTACCACGATATTCTAACCAGTTTGATGGTCAATATGCAAATATTAGACCTGAAATTTCAGCTAAGAAATTCTTTAAAGTTGCTTTATTCGATCCAGTTTTCGCAAATGTTAAAGATGAACTTAAACAGCAATTCCAACCAATTATAGTAGCAAGAATTGCATCAGGTGCTTTATCTCAAGCATTCAAAGATTTAATTAAGAAACCATTATATCAGCAACGAGGTTTAACTTATGATTTAGTTAAGGAATCAGATAAAAGAAAATTTGAGAAATCAGATGATTATAAGAATGCAATTAATGAATATATTAGGTCTATTAATTACAATGAAACAGCTAAAAATCAACTTCATGAACAAATACAGGGAATAATAGATTCAAAAGTTCCAGCAAAATAAAAGTTTAAATATATTTTTTTATTCGAATATAAATGAGAAGACGTTTCACTAGTCAAAAGAACACTAACGCAAAAGCAGAGATTACGGTTGGTTATAACGTAAATGATGATAAATCACGAATTATTCAAAATGTTAAAGTTAATGTTAGCCCCGAATTAACAAGGTCAGCAACTCAACCAAATTTATTAACTCGTGACTTACCGAAAAAGGAGGAGGAGCAAAATAAAGAAGATGGAGACCCAATCATTTTATCTGAACCCGGTAAAGAACCTGTTGAAATTCCCACTTATCCAACATACCCCCACCTCTTTCATCAAACATCGAGAACCCATATAAAATAGACATTAATTCTGAATTAATGAAAATTTACCGTGATATAATAATTAATAATTATGATTCAATAATAAATTTAATTGACCAATCCGGTTTAATTATTTTACCTTATGAATCATTAATTCACATTATCGCCATTCTTTGTGATGTTCAAGATTCAGACGTTAAGATTCAATTTTTCATAGATGATGAGGTTTCATGCTGCGGAACAGTTGCAAAAATAAATCCTATAAAGGATATTAGCACAATTAAGATATCAAAGAACGGAACAACAACTGAACTTCATTTAACATATAATGATATTTATAATAAAATAGTTGATGAATATAAAATATCACTTGAAAAATTCTTTGTTAAGGCTATTTAATATTCAAGCATTAACATTATCGAATAATAATCCTTTGAATCATAATCAATAATAATTGACCTTTCACCAGTTTCTATCGTTTGTTTTATTTCTTTTTGTTCCCCACTATCCGGATCGGTCATTGTAATTGTTTTTGTTATAGTATCAGCTTTATCTTTAACTTCAATCTTTTTTCCATCGGGATATTTAAACCAAAATTCCAAAAATTCGATATTGTCAATCTGTTCATATTTTAATCTATCAATTACATTTTTAATACCATCTGAAAATCTTATGAAATGGTCATTATATGGGTTTGATTGAACTAAATTTGAATGAAGTGAAATATAACCTGTTGATGAATATGACACTGACTCATATTTTCTGAAACACTAAAATTTATAACATGAATGAATTTCTTATTCGTTGAATTTATGAATTCTTGAGATAATCTTATTCTAGTTTTATTTATCACTGGAAAATAACGCTTTACCATATTTTTATTCGTAATAAAAAATCTCAATTATCAATATTATTTCGAATAATAACTGTGAATTAAATTTAACAGTTAGCGGAATTTATAATGTTACTCTCGTTTCTGTGAGTGGTAAATTTAATCCCATTCTTTTAGACCCTTCAGATTATATATCATTTATTAAAGATGACCTTGAAAAAACGTATGATATGTATATAAATAATGTGATAGTGAAATGGGATATTAACATGATTTTAAGTTATTTAAATGAATCATTTATCGTATGGTATGAAGAAAATTTTAAATCAAAACCTGATAAACTTTTTGAACTTGATGAAATAAATAACCTTATTAAATTTCCGCTGAAAATTAAATTTTGTACTCCTCATCTTCGTTCATTGTTGGGGATATTAAATTTTGAAAAAGATGTTGGGGATGTTTTGTATTCTGACACTGGTTCCAATTTCATTTTAATCAAATGTGATAAAGTTAATACCCCAATGAGATTTTCACATCAAACATTAGACCCTAACTCTTACCCATCAATACAAAACATTTTATCCATCAACTTAAACACATTTTCTTTATCATATCCGTTTCAATTATCCGGGAATTCATTTATTCTTCATTCAAAAGATTTATCAAATATTAAATTTAGAATAACTGACCTATTTGATTGTGATTTAGAATTTATAAATGAAATATTATGGCAATTTCAAATAGAGAAAATAGCTGATGAGATAACGGATTAAATATTTATTTTTAAATCGTAATAAATGATTAAACAACAGCAACTTAAGGCGCAAAACGCCCAGGTCCTTCAGACCATTACATACGCCACATATGCATATAATTCAAAGACGGCAGAACAAACGCAAAGGTTGAAATATGGAGATTTGGAGATAGTATATTGAAAAATGACCATTTCGAATTCGTTTGCAAAGGTGGTGCAGTGATATCAAATATAAAAGAAATTTTATTTATGAATTCTAAAATTAAAGGTATAACGGATGATATAACATCAATTCCACCAGAAGAACAGAGATATTACGCATTAAATGCATTTCCTAAAGTTTTGAAGATTGGAAGATTTAATTTAAATGAGGAATTCATAGAAGGTTTCCTAAATGACATAATGAAGAAGGTGGATAAGGAATATGTGGATAGTGAGTTAATGAAGAAAGCAGATAAGGAATATGTGGATAGTGAATTAAATAAGAAGGCAAATTTGGTTTATGTTGATGAAAAAGATAATGAAATTAAAGAAAAGGTTGAATGGTATCATGAATGGACATTGGAGACTTTTAAAGTTAAAGCTGATACAGAATGGGTTTCAGGATGTTTAGACCTTAAAGCAGATAAAACATATGTTAACAATGAGTTAATGAAGAAAGCAGATAAGGAAAAAGTTATTTCATTCATTAATACTGAGTTAGCAAAGAAAGCTGATATATCATTTGTTAATGAAGAAATAAAACAATCAGAGGTCTATTTTACTCCACCATTTTTAAATTTTATGAAATCATCAGATAAAACCTTTGATATAGATTCTTTTGAATGGATATGTTTCGATGGAGTGACCATGTATTTATTTTATACAGCTGGAGTGCTTTATTATTTTAAAACAAATGATTTTAAAAACTATGAATCATTTACTCCATCTGTTTGGAATCCTGATACACGAAAGCCAATCATTAATCCAAGAATTTTATATGTTGAATATAATAACGGTAAATTTATGGGAATGATAACGGTTGGAGATGATTTTTGCCCTTGTTATTCATTCGATTGTATCCAATGGTTCAAATGTAATTTAAATCAAGATGCTAAATTTAAATATCCAAATAATCCTATTAGATGCGTTAATAATAAATGGGTACTAATTTATGAAGTCAATCAAATTTTCATTAGTGAGGATGGGATAAATTATTATATGTTTAGTATGATGTCATCAGATTTGGAAATTGTTATACAAGTAAGTGGTATTACATTAACAACATGTATTTTATCCTACAAAATGATAAAATTTATAGATCATCTTCAATACCACAAGGTCAATTTGAACAAATTTTTCAAGCTGATGGAGACATTGAAGCTTTATGTTATGGATCAAATGTTTGTGTTCTCGTTTCAGGGATGGTTCTATTCATATCCTGTAAGTTATAACAGACATATTTATTTATCACAGGATTTATCAAATTGGGAATTGGTTTATTCATTCACTCCAAAACTTACTCGAAATTATAGATTTACAAATTTATTTTATATTGATGGGTATTTCATTGCTTTAGGATGTGGTGATATAGTAAACATCAGTAGTGATGGAAGAAACTGGTCTGAAATCACAAAATTTCAAGATGTTAGAAAAGCAATTTTCAAAAATAATACGTTAATATTGATAACAAGACCAGTTTTAAATACTCACCCAAATTCAATATTATATAATAAATTCAATATTCATAATGGATTAAATACAATTCTTGAGATGATTTACCCCATTGGTTCTATTTATACGTCAATGAACTCAACACATCCAGTAACAGTTTTAGGTTTTGGTACGTGGAAGCAGATTGTAGATAAATTCTTATACTGTGCTAACTCTTCAAAGCAAACAGGAGGTTCGAAGAAAATTAAAGAAGCAAACCTTCCACCGCACACTCATACGGGAACTACAAACACAACAGGTAATCATTCACATTCAATAACAAAAAGAGGTTATAGAAATCTTGCAGCAGGTTCGGATAGACAGGGAATGGATAGATATGATTTCAAGCGACCCAGTAGATTCAAGCGCAGGTATTTTCTGTGGAACCACAGGAAATCATGCCCATACTTTCACAACAAATCCAACAGGCTCGGGTGAAGATTATATGCCACCATTTATGACTGTATTTGCATGGTATAGAGTTCAATGAACGCTCAATGTTTGTGAAACAAACTTTAGAACGGACTGAAAGTCCTGAGCTCCAAAAGAGCGAACGGCATAATTTAAATTTTTATTTTAAGTATAAATGAAGATTCTACCATATGGTGTTATGGAAGAGATATAAGATGGAAACCCAATATTTGATCCAAAGTTAAAATTAAAGTTACTGACAAGACAACAACTTGAAAAGTTGCTGAAACCAAACAGGATGAAAAATGAGAAAAATGAGAAAAGAAAAAAATTTAAATTATGCATTTTATTTTTATCATAAATGACAAAATTAATTAAGCCAACTAATTTCTAAATTAATGATACCAATGAAATCATTTCATGGAGTATCTTATCCCAGGTTCTTCACAATTAGCCGGGGCAAGTGTTTGTGACTCAAGGTGGAACATTAGCGAATCCATTCAAATTATTAACTAAAGATGAACTTAATAAAATGATGATAAAATAACTGATAACAAATTTTATTTCACTACTACCATGTTACCATGTGCTACCAGGTTAATTAACTTCTCTTAAAAATGATGACAACATGACATTTTGACAACAGTTCAGGAGGAAGGCATTTATGAATTATTTTTATTTTTTTTTATTTTGTATGTAAGAAACAGAAATGTCAGTCGAAGCACAGACGTTTCACGAACAAATCTAATGGCGAAAACATTCACAAAAAGGCACTTATAATGGTATTGAAGTCTTACGTAGAGACAAGGATGGTTACATTAATGCAACAAAGATGTGTCAGCAGTTTAGGAAAGACTTTAGAAAGTTGTTGGAAAATAAGTCCTGGGAAGAGTATTATAAGGCGTTTTGTGAAAAGAATATAGCAACCGCCGGAATTCGGACTGTTGCTTTTTATACAAAATTCATGCAGGAATTCCTGATGAAATCAAAAGCAGGTTAGAGAACGTATGTAGACCCAAGACTTATAAAACTATATAGCAATGTGGGCTTTCTCCAAAATATTGCATAGCAGTTGGAAAAATTATGGACTCCATAAGACAAGAAAGTTCATGAAGAAGTTTAGATGAAGAAGAACTCGAAGATACAGTAGAAAATGGCTAAACATTTGTTTGAAGAAGAAGTGAGAAAAATGTGCGAAAAACAATTAGAACATGAACGTGAGATATGTTATGGTTATAGAGATTCTCCATACGAACTAGATCAATGGGAACAAGAAGATTTAAAGAGAGAATTTAGAGAATATGAACTCGCTAAGATAGCATTTAGAAACTGCAGAAAAGAAGTTAAAAGTTTGGGGTCGTTTTGTACAAAAATATTGTGAGTAAATGAACCATTTATTTTTATTGAATTCAGCACAAAATTCTGAGTAAAATGGCATATGGCATGTGTCAAACTGTTGAGTTTTCAACAAAAATTCCAAAAAAATATATTTTAGGTGAAGAGGTGAGATCTCACCTGTTTTTTCACCTGTTTTTTCACCCTCACCACTTAGCGGCTCAGATTGCTTTAGCTTTCTCGTGAATTTTCATGAATTTCCTTAAGATAGAAAAAATAAAGTTAGTTTTAAAATTAGTTTTAAAATTATTTTTATTTTGTATAAAAGATATGATTTCAACAATCGGCACAACAACAATTCAAGCCACAACTACAGCACCAAACTCGCTAGTCATGAATCCTACGTCAATGTTGGTAGAGATGAAAAGCTTTATTCCTTCTTCATATACTTTTGAAACAGAAATCCAGAAGATAAAGCAAGATCTTTTATTAATTATTGAATAACCCATGATGTTGTCAAAATGTCATGTTGTCACATTTTTTCAGAGAAGTTAAATGACCTGGTGACCTGGTGACCTGGTGACCCCTTCAGTTCTTCAAAAATAATTAATTATTGAATAACCCATGATGTTGTCAAAATGTCATGTTGTCACAAACTTTAGAACGGCATAATTTAAATTTTTATTTTTATCATAAATGAATACCCCACAAGCTCAAAATTTACCACGAATCATAACAAGGGAGGAAATGATAAAAATGATGCAAGAACATGTTAAAAATAACAAACCACTAAAATTGAGAAAATGTGGTTATGCAGTAATGATGGAAAGAGATACGTTGTCAAAGAGGAATAAAAATTAAATTTGGATTGAGTTTAAAAATTCATCTTTATTAAATTCATCTCTTCCAATCAATTTATTTATTCTATTAAATTCTTTTATTTTTGCTTCACTCAGTTTAAGGATTGAACGGTAAGTTTCTAATTTTTCGATTATTTCTTTCCTCTCTTTATCGTTTTCAGCCCCACCACATTGCGGCTTCTTTTTGTAATAGCATATTTTTGATTTAATTCTGTTTAGTTTCTTTTTATATTCATCGTCTGGACTCTGAATCTTAATTGAATCAGGACTCTTGGATGCTTCGTTGTCACTCATTTCTTACGAAATAAAAAAATTAAATATTATTTAAATATAATGGAGTAATAAAATAAATCGGAATTTCTATTAATTTATTGTTAACCTCAACTAATGCATTGCCGTTAATATATCTAACAAATTCAGCTATTGTGTCAAATCTTCGTCTTCTTTTTGTCATTGATTTATCAGTTTTTCCATAATCGAGATGAATCAAAACTTTATCCCCTTGTTTAAAATTCATGAGCCCCGAATTAATTTGTTCACGTTTAACATCATTTAACCTTTCCATTTGCTTTCTAATATATTCCCATTCTTTTGAAATATCATTTTTCATTTCCACTGGTTTCATGTTTATAGTTCTATGCCATGTATTATTGTAATAATATACTAACTGTTGTATGATGGAGTTATGATTTCCATCCCAGTATATCTGACCGTTAACCCTAACGCATCTCTAAGAGTTCTCATTACCGCATCAACTATTTTATTATGAAACGTATATGGAGAGGATGAAAAGTAAAAATTAATTTGTGGGAAATAATGAGCCATAGCTGCCTGAAATCCTTTATCACCATCACCCCTTATATTATCTACTCTTTCATGATCTAGTAAGTATTGTATAGCTCTTCTTGTTTCCTGTTCTGTTTTCCCTTTCACCGGAATGCAATATAAATATCTGGTGTTAATGTTAATGGCAAATAAATAAGTAACGTTTCCTTTTGAATATTCTAAATGATCGATTTCGTATGAATATGGATATGGTGCAAATGAAGGGCGACTAAATTTTTCCTTTAACGGTTGAATTTTTGGGTCAGTTGGTTTATTTAATATTTTGAAATCCTTTTTAAAATCTTTTTGCTTCTTTAATGTTTGAAATGGATATAATAAAGTGAATGATGAAGGATTAACTGAAGGAGGAGGTACTACCGTTGGAGGTTTTGGTATTGCAAGTGATTTAATTTTATCTGCTTTGATTTTGGATGATGAAGTTTTGGATTTCATTCCCCCTTCATTAATTCTGGATGTATTCTATTCATTTGTTTTAAATATGTTGTATATAAAGGTTTGATATACTTTCCCGCTTCGAGTTTATGTTGAAGGATGAATTCCAAAGTTGATCTTCATTTAAAAGTCGGGCTGAATATGGTTTAACTAATGAATCATAAATTAAAGCTTGTGCATCATTTATGGTCTGAAGGACCTGGGTGTTTTGCACCTTTAGCTGTTGAACATTTGCTACTTTCTCTTTTGGTGTTGTTTTCGGCTTTTTCTTCTTTGGCTTTTGTTCCTTTGGCTTTTGCGGCTCAGGATTATATAATTTATATAATTCATCAATATCTTCTTCTGTTAATACTTTATTTTTGAAATCTTTCAATTGTTTAAGTTGTGATTTAGTTTTTCCCTTTGTATATTCATTATTTTTAATTTTGTCTTTAATTTTAGAAATTATTTTATCATGATATTTCAAATTTCATTTTTATAATACCGATAATAATAACCCATATCATCACCCGTTATATTGTTATTATGTTTTTGGAGATATGATTTTAATTCATAATAATTAAGAAAATTTTGATAAAATACTAAATCATCAATTAAAATTTCTAAATCTACGTTATCCATTTATATAAAAATAAAATAAATGTTTTAAGGGTGCCCACCTCTTTGAATCATAGTATCAAAATCATTATTTACATATTGAATCACATCATTAACGGTTCCTTTTGTCTCTTCTGTGGCATTTTATTAAAAATAAAATTTTAAATTCATGACTCAACCCCTACGTTTTTAAATTGTATTAAATAAATGGCATACAACATCCATTTTCACAACATACAGCCTTAGTGTGTGCTCCTGTTAATGCAGTCTTACCGATTGTTAAGCGAGTCATTGACCCGTTTTTAAGTTGTAAATTAATATTCTGACCATCAAATATCACTTTATCATTTATTATATCCAAATAATTTTTAGGTGTTAATTGTTTATTTTGTCGTAAACTAACACCTTTCATTTTTTGTGCAATCTTTTTAAAATCACTTCCATCAATTGAACCGTTGAATGATGTATAACACTTGGGGCATAAAGCAACCATGTTATCACCTTGTTTCTCAATTGCTAAACCCAATAACTTCTTCTCATGTGCTTTTTCTTCAGCTTTATTCTTTAATTTAGGTTTAAATTTCTCATCAAAACAGAAGAAATCAAATGGTGCGAATTTGAAAATGTTTTATCATAAAATTGTTTATCGGTAACAATTGCTTGAAATGATTGAGTGTTAGGAAGATTTGGATCGCCAGCGATTGCCCAATAAGATGAATCAGTATCACCTTCAATGAAATGAAAACGATTAACATCCATGCATTTATACATAAAATCATAAATGAAAACTAAATACCAGTATTTTGCGTTATCTAAAGTAAAAAATGCCTCTTGTAAACATGTATCACATCTATAAAATCTATCTTTGAGCATCACTTGATACGTATCCTCTCCTATTTCTCTTATGTTTTTAAACTTATTTGACATACATGCAACGCGTGCCTTCTGTGCATTCATTATTTTAGTCTTTGCGTAATTTTGTGTATTCATTGCATCGTAACCATATGATCCATTAAGCGAAATCTTGCAAAATAAATTTTTTCCTTTATTTCCTTCTAATTCAGCCTTTTGTCTTTCGTTCATAAATTCGTTCGCAAATTCATTAAAACAAGTGTTTTTAGTAAATGTTAAAATTGATTGAATATCATCGATGATAAAATGAAATCTGTCTATTAGATACCAAAGATAATAAGAAGAAAATGGTTGATATTGGTTGTGTGTTGATGCTAACTGAGTTAATTTCCTCTGTTTCTGGTCAACTGGTAGATTGTTTGATTTCATGTAATTATACATAAAACTGCCAATTGTTTTTTCATCTGTGATAATATCTAAGTTTCTTATTATCGGTAAAAAGTTTATGTAATCATTAATGTATTTTTCATCAATGTGACCCTTTACTTCAGCCACGAATAAAGTATTTTTCTTTCTAATAATTCCCAGTGCTTTTGCTTTCTTTGTTGCTGTATCACAAATGATAACACCATTCAATCTTCTCGGCATATACATTTTATGGTCAGTATATTGAATGAAATCATGAGGATTAGATGAAAATGATGAAGGATATAATGAATTAAAATCAACACCAACGAAATGAGTCATAATGTTGGTGGTGTCCTCATTTGATACAGTTTTAGTGTCTGGACTATATGAAAGTTTATTAATGTGCGTGATTCCTTTAAGATTTACTCTATGTTGAACATTTGATAGACCACCAGTAATTCCATTACGGAGAATGTGATAAGCTTCAACTGAATCTAAAGTCATTGGTAAATTATTTTTTAATGCATAATTTCTTAAATTGATTCTTAAACGTTGAACATCTTCATCTTTATTTGATTTTACGACATTGCAATAACAACACATTAACTGACAATTTTCTTTGGTATGTGGTTTTTCATTATCGATTCTATCCAATGTTGGTTTATTTGCATATGTAAACGCTTTACCACACATTTTGCATTTAGATGAAAGGATTAAATCGTGATAGTATTGAAAATCATCCATTGAAACATTATTTTTAGTATCTCTTTCTGCTTTTTCATCTTGTTTCTTATATGATTCAATTTTATATTTCCAATACTTTTTTGTTAATTCAAAACTTGATTCTATCTCTTCCTCAGGATATTTTTCATTAGGATTAAAGTCTTTATATGCTAAAGCGTAACGAATCATTGAAGCATTCGATGATAAAGAAAGATTATGAAGCGTGTCAATTTTATAAACAAATGTTTCTTCAATAATTTTATCGATTGGGTCAATCATAATTTCAACATCTTTATTGCAATAATGAATAAAATATTCTAATCTATTCTTAAAATTTTTAGCATCATTGAGATATATTTGATAATCACTATCTGATATAGTTTCTTGAGTTAATGCTGAATAAAATGAATCTTTCGTGAATGGTTCCACTTTATATAATTCTTCTTCGTAATTTTTCCACGTGATGAATTGATAAGGGAAAAAGGATTTAACACGTGATTTATTGTTTCCGAAATCTTGAGTGAATTGGTCTAATGTCCCACCCGCTATATAATTTCTGATGTCAATAAATCTCAATTCATATGGAACGTTTGTTTTCTTTACAATGATTTGCTTAAATTGTGAAGATGAACCCAGCATTGATTTTATTTTCCATTTTGCAGTGTTTAAATCACGAAGAATTAAATTTAAATCAAACTTTCCCGAATTAAAACCTATGATATTCACTTTATTGAATTCCTCATCTAGAAGTTCTTTAAATGCTTCCTTCTGTTTTTCATTTAATGTATGAGACAAAGTCCCCGCCGTTTGCGACTTCAATAATTCATTGTATTGACTCATATTTGATTCAACAACTAATGAACAGGTTGAAAATAAAAACTCAATCCAATCAGAAATAAAAGAATCACTCGAAGTTAAGCAAAAATTCCTCGTATATGTTTTATCGTTTAATTTAACCGTTGATGATACCATGAATGGTTTTAAGTAAGCATTCAAAGTTGCACACTCAGAAAGTTGTAATTCTTCTTTAGTCTCTAATGTTTCAAAGTCAAAAGTAATATAATATCTTGTCGGTTTATAATATTTCTGCAAATTGTGAGCTAATAACCACTGATATATCTTCTGTTTCGTAATATGTGGTGCATATGGTTGCTGTGTCTTTTGCAACTGAACGTCTTGAATTAATCTCCCATTATTTTCTTTACATTTCTCACAAGGCTTTAAAAATCTTCTCTGGTTTTTCCTTTCTGGATCATCGCGGATAGAATAAACTTCTTCTTTACAATATGGACAAACTTTATAGCCGGTGAGTGCTTCTACGTTTGTTATTCTGTCAGCGTGAAGTTTTCCACGTGGACTCTGTGTTAATAAAATATTTACTGTTTCAAATTCTGGATCTATCATTATTGATTCCACTAATGGAAAGTCTACCTTATTTATGTCCACGTCTTCTGGTTGAGGATCACAATAATAGAAATCAATATTAACATTTAACATTCTCGCTAATCTCTCACTTTCTGATGAAATGTCAAACCCTTCATATGCATCTATTGCTTCATTTAAATAGCTCCTACGAGTTTTAGGATTAGCACCATCAGGAATGTTATAGAAGCGTTTAAATAACCTTTTACCTTCTGCTCTAATTTGATTATCATTCATTTTAGCTGTTCCGTTTTTGTTCATTTATGTAAGAATAAAAAATTAAAAAATAAATAAAAATAAAGTTTATTTTTTAAAGCCCATAAAATGAATTAAGAACACATAAATTTTTATCATCTGCGACGTGACGAATACATTTTAATTTACTCAAGAATGCGTACCCTGATACATTAAATCTAATTCCTGTCTTATTTAATTTCACAACTTTGAAAAGGAATGTATGAATAGCTATAAAATGATGAGAAGATGTTTTATGGGTTGCTTCCATTTTTTCTAAATAAATGAATAAATATAATGCTTATACGTTTTCATATCTTTTATATTCTTAATAACGAATGGTATAGACCTTTCAACTTCGTCTTCCTTCGGTGCTGTTCTTTCATATGAAACATTATTAGTATCTTCAATAATGAAACCACAATCACATAAAATTTTATATGTTCCAATGGTTTCTTTTGATATTTTATCTAATAAATCAAAAACTTTATCAACACCTGTGCATTTATTTAAATAATAATTTGTGTAAATATCATGATCTTCTTTCTTAATCGTATTAGTTGCATATGTCACGTTTTTAAGAGCTTTTTTGAATTTTTTGGAATCTAAAGGTGGTGAAAGTAAGATACAAGGGTATTCTTCATTATCAATAAATTGTAACTTATGCTTACGAATAAATTTAGTACCTTCTTCTGAAAGTGTTTCGTCTATTTCACCATCTAATAAATTTTGTGTTGATTCTGAGACATAATTTTTATATCTTTCTTCATGAGATTTCTGAACTTCTGATTCTGAAGCTGGGATATTCATTAAACCCTCTACTTCATTTTCATTATATTTTTCAACTTCTCTTAATTCCTTAATTTTTTCATCTATTTCATCTCTTATTTTTTTCAGTCTTTCAATTTCATTGTATTCATCATCTTTAATCCGTTCTTCATAATATTCGGGGAAAACATCAGGTTCTTTAGGTTTTTCTTCTTCAGATGTGGGATATAAGAAATTTATAACATCATCTTTATTCATTTTTCCATCATAATCTAAATCATTTAATAACTCCGCGAATTTTTGACAATTTCTTAAATAATATTTATCAACTTCATAACCCACCTCCTCTAATATATCCTTTATTTCCTCGTTTGTGAATCCTAATTTTTTAACGTTGTTAGTTTTGACGCTCATTTCATACAAAATAAAAAAAATAAAATAATAAACATAACTAGGTTTTAATTTTTCGTAAGACATGAATTTTTAAAGTTTATTTTACTCGTTTATGACTCCATTGATTCCATTCAGGATTTAAACAATGTTTAATTAATCGCGGAATATCTGACATCATCTATATATAGCTTCTTTTATAAAAGATAAAAAAATAAATTATTTTAAAATTAATGTTAATTTTTTAATAATTTATAAATAAATATATTTTAATGCATCGTCTATATATAGATGTAACAAAAAAGTCACTAAACCCGTCATATCCTACTACTATTTATCCAGAAATCCTCAAATGGAAGAGAAGCTACCAATGATTAATGTTATCATAATATTTAATTTTTGTATCATTAAAAGAAAGAAATCTTTGTTTTTCGATAAAAAAAATTTATACAAACAAACAAACATATAAACAAATTACAAAAGTAATATAATTAGGCAATCATGCTCTTTGTAAGTCCTCTTACTCTTGGATGAGGTCTAATGATATGGCTAGCTGCAGAAGTAAACGGTCTTGAAACGGACTTTGATCTTGATTGCGATGATAACTGTGGGATTTGATCAATGCACTTAAGGAGTTGTCTAGATGTGTAACGCTCGTCTTGGTTCAATCTCAAGCACTTTTCAATTATGAAGGCCATTTGTTCTGGAACGTGTTTGAAGTCTTCTCTATCGAACTTGAGTTCTGCACTGATATACTTTAAGTGGTTGCCGTTGTATGGAACTTTTCCTGTGGCAAAATGGTATAATGTAACGCCAAGGGACCAAATATCGCATTTAATTGGGTCGTATTCGCGATTGAGAGCCATTTCTGGAGCCATGTAGTTAACGGAGCCGCAAATTCTGTTGTTTTGCTTCTTTCCTTGGTTAGTAAAAATTGTTAAGCCGAAATCACAGAGTTTTGCACGACCAAACTCATCAATAAGAACATTGGATGGCTTGATATCGCAATGTGCGAATCCGAGGCCGTGCATGTAGTCAAGTGCCTGAATAATGTCTCTTGAGTACTTCAACATCTGGCTAACTGATATCTTCTTATGAGAGTTTATAAGAGATAATAAACTTCCGCCTGAGCAATATTCTAAAATCAAGAATAAGTACTTTTCATAAGTAAATGCGTCATAAACACGGACAATATTAGGGTGATCAAATGATGTAAGAGCTTTCTGTTCTCTAATAAAGTCACCAGTTGTATCATTTGAGACTTTGCAAACGAATTGTATTTCGTATTTGAGGCTTTTTACGATATAGCAAGTTCCGAAGCCTCCCTTATTGAGGTATTTAACAATCTCATAATCATGTTCGCTGAGAGCTTTAACTACTGTTTGTGGAAACATCAATCAAACAAAATTTATAATGATTTTTTCTCCGCTTTGAAAAAGACAATTGAATGGGAAAATTTTAAGATCATGATTTTAAAGATAAATGTTAATCAGAAGATTTATAATAAGATTCACAAACAAATTCCAAGGGCCATTAGTCCTCTCAATATTGACCAGAACTTAGCTCAATTAAAAAAAGACGAACAATTGCGGAATCTACTTATATTATTTAATCAGCGAGTTATTATAAGCAAAATAACTTTTGTTTATTGATTCTAACTCACTTCTAATCTATGAAAAATTTGAATCGCTATTTCAAATAATTTCAATTATGAAACGTGCTTGATACTCATCGCTTCAAAAAATGATAGTATATATAATTCTTTTTAAATGTTAGTATAAAATTTGTCAAAAAATTATTTTTCAATAGAACTTCGGTCATTACCAACAATCGATCAGATACCACCACAATGATATAATAAATGATTAACTCCCGGTGTCGAAAATTTCTCTGAATTTTTTATCTGATTTCTACGCTTCCAAAATAGGATCAAATGATGTAATAGAAGCGTTTTTTTAGGTAATGTTGTAAACAGAAATTCATCAAAAGTGACACCTCAGAAAAGCTAAAATATTGAATTTTTGGAACTTTTGATAGAGCACGTTTTTAAATATTAATTAAAGTAAATGTATATTTTGTAGAGATTCTTTTTAATAAAAAAATAAAATTTTGAAGAAGAACACAAAATCTTCTGAAAAATAATATCACATAAACTCATATTATTTTCTAATATATAACTATTTTATATAAAAATCAAATTCAATGATCTTAAAAGCGAAGGATAAACCTCAAAATTTACGAATATAATGAGTGGGAATATAATGCTTATCTATCATAAAACCATATGAAATATCAATTTTTGCTTTACGCCTAATTTTTGACGACAATTAGCAAAAAATGTTAAATGTTAACACTCAGTCCATTTGAATATGAAAAATAAAATTGACTTTGATTAAATGTTTTTATTTATCATGCAATTCTTCTTGCGACCAAAGATTTGAATAAAAGTTCAAAAAATAAGATAGCTTAAAAAATAATATACGGTAGTGTTTACTAATAGATGAATAGTATATAAATTCTATTAAAATGGATTTGATCCAAAAAAATATAAAACCAAAAATAATTGTTATAATTTAAATGAAGAAGTAATTTAAAGAGTAGGTGCCAAAAGTGCTTACTCTTAAACAACCGTCGGATTTCCGGGTGAAATCGTGACACACTTTCGTCTTTCGTAGGCGGTGGTGGTTGTTACAAAAGGTAACTTCGAATGTAGCGTGAAATCTGCAAAAAAAATTCTGAAATTTGAATGGATAACACAAAAATTGAATAGTTTACGTCAATAAAAAAGGTGAAAAATGAAGCCAATGTGTCTCGAACCTAGGACTTAGAGCAGCAATCCCATTGTTTATCAAATTACACTACATGCATCTCTCACCTCAGTGAATGAGATCAACTATATGATAACTTTTTCCCCATTATATTCTTGTGGAAAAGTGACAAATAGCAACTTTGACCCTCTCTCGTAATTTAAAACGATTTTATTTATGATCAAATTTTATATATTTTTTTGGATCAAATCCATTTTAATAGAATTTATATACTATTCATCTATTAGTAAACACTACCGTATATTATTTTTTAAGCTATCTTATTTTTTGAACTTTTATTCAAATCTTTGGTCGCAAGAAGAATTGCATGATAAATAAAAACATTTAATCAAAGTCAATTTTATTTTTCATATTCAAATGGACTGAGTGTTAACATTTAACATTTTTTGCTAATTGTCGTCAAAAATTAGGCGTAAAGCAAAAATTGATATTTCATATGGTTTTATGATAGATAAGCATTATATTCCCACTCATTATATTCGTAAATTTTGAGGTTTATCCTTCGCTTTTAAGATCATTGAATTTGATTTTTATATAAAATAGTTATATATTAGAAAATAATATGAGTTTATGTGATATTATTTTTCAGAAGATTTCATTCTATATGCCTATGAAAAGTACTCTCAAAACTAACTTTTTCCTAATTATAATTAAATCTAGAATATTGTATTATGCTTAGTATTATTTCATTTCTCTCATTCAATTTAGAATTTACAAATGTCAAAAAATTGAGAGCTGTCACTTTTGATGAATTTCTGTTTATTACAGGTAAGAGTTTTAAAATAACGCATTTGAATGGATGAAATTCGGAATTTGACATAATCTTAAAATGCAAAGATTGGTACCAAATTCATTATGATTCATGATTAATTAAGATAGACTAGTATTTTTGGATCCGATTTCATTATATTTCGCTAATTTTTACATAAACAACAAAAATATCCTTTAAAATCCTTTTGTAATACGTTGGATTTTAATTTGTAGCTAGTTATATTCATTAAAAATAAATCGATAGTTAGTATTATTCATAAAAAAAAGTTTTTATAGATATTCATGTTCAAAGAACTCCTTTGACTCCTTTGGATTTGGCTTGATTGTAGCATCACCTTCCTTAGTCCACTTAGATGGGCAAACTTCGCCGTGTTTAGCAGCGTATTGGTAAGCCTTAACTAATCTAAGAATTTCGTCAACATTTCTGCCTACATCTGGATGGTTCATTTGTACATGGCGAACAATACCTTGTGGATCAATAATTACTGTGCCTCTAAGATCATGACCAGCTTCTTCTATGTAAAATCCATAAGACTTAGCGATCTTTCCACCTAAATCGGAAATAAGTGGGTAGTTGATCTCGCCAAGGCCACCTTCCTTTCTTGGTGTGTTTCTCCATGCGAGATGAGAATAAACTGAGTCGACTGACATACCTAAAACTTCGCATCCGATCTTCTTGAACTCGGCATACTTGTTTGAGAACTCAATAATTTCGGTTGGGCAGACAAATGTGAAATCAAGAGGATAAGAGAAAAGAACGAGCCAACCACCATTGTAGTTCTTTCTGGATATTTCCTTGAAGTCGCCATCTGGTAAAACGGCCTGTGCAGTGAAATCTGGTGCCTCTTTTCCAACAAGCATCGATAAAAAATGAAGTAACCAACTATCGCGTCACGTTTTCCTTTCAAAAAATCAAATTTATGTTCCTTGTTTTGATATTGCAATGCTGACTTATCATTATTTAGTATTTTTAAACTAATAAGTCCAAGCTGCAGAGGTATTGTTCAGAATGATGTTCTTGTCTGAAATCCATTCTGAATTCAGGCTACATAACTATGTTTTCCCATGTAGCTCCTGGATATAGGAATTATTTGCTGCAAACTCATAAAATGGAAGAAAATTTATTCACTAATCAGGAAAAAAATTGTATATTGGTCGAATTTCCAGTTGTATATAGCAAAGAAAAGTTTGAAAGTGAAAACTAAAAGAAATTTTTAATGAAAATAGCTTGAATTAAAAATGAAATTAAAAAATTCATTTTTGATTAATTTTCAAGACAGACCGATCAAACTGGGTGAAGTCTTCAATAATTCCTGTAACTCCTGGTAAGTTCTTCAAACGATCTTTTGAATCAGGTGTAACAAGTGCATAAATCTGACCAATTCCTGCATCATGCGCAGATTTAATTCCAGCTGCAGCATCTTCGAATACTATGCACTTGGAAGGATCAATGCCAAGAGTTTTTGCACCAAGGATGTAAATATCTGGAGCTGGTTTGCCAGGAAATTGTCCTTGATCATATACGATTTTATCAATATCGAAATAATCTTTCAATTTAAAGAAGTCAATATAGAAATTCACATTTGTTTCATCAGAAGAAGTAGCAATTGTATAAGGAACTTTGTGTTCTCTTAGGTAGTTTATAAGGTCTATTGATCCAGGAGCTAAATGAGCATTCTCCTTATCTTTTAGTACTAATTCACGATAAAATGCTTCTTTTTCAAGTCCAATACGATTTGCCTCAGAAACATCAACTGAATGTCCATAAATATGTTCTACTAATTGAACATTTGTGCGCCCTGTTAATTTCATAAATTCTTCATCAGTTAAAGGGTAACCCCTCATTTTTTCGGATAATAGTTTCCATGCATACTTGTGTTTGTCTGTATCTGAGAAAAGAGTTCCGTTAAAATCAAATATTACCGCTTCCATTTCTGATCAAATAAAAAATTAACCTCTTCCTCTCAAATTTTCAAAATGGCAGATTTTTCAATTATGTTTTCCACAACAAATGGAATGGTTTTTGTTTTTTGAATCTTTTTCGAACTCTCAAAAAGATAATTGCATTTTTTCCAATAATAATATGGAAAATCAAAAATTTGAAATTTTAAAAATTTCAATCAAATGATTTTTTTGAGGTCTAGAAAAGGAGTTCAAGCAATTTAAATAGTATAATAATTATTATTTTATCTATATTATCGTTTTTATATATCAATATTATGATATACATATATCTCAGATTGAATTTATTATAACATGAAGCAAGGAATCTGAAAACATAAAGACATTTCCTAAATTATTTTATAGAAAACAATATTATTCATATTAAAGCTCAGAAATAGAATATTAGAAATTTAAAATCGGAATATAATCCATTTTCAAAACAAAATAGATGTGTTTTAATAGTGTGGTTTGTGTGATATGTTTGGTTAATACAGAAAAGGTATATTAGTTAACATTTCTTAATAATTTTTATGGAAAACTAAATGATTAATGAATCATAGTATGTGCATTTAATATGATTCAACCAGGTTTATATATTTTCATGCGTAATCAATACATGATCTCCTACACCAATCGAAGTAGTAGGATATGACGGGTTTAGTGACTTTTTTTGTTACATCTATATATAGACGATGCATTAAAATATATTTATTTATAAATCATTAAAAAATTAACATTAATTTTAAAATAATTTATTTTTTTATCTTTTATAAAAGAAGCTATATATAGATGATGTCAGATATTCCGCGATTAATTAAACATTGTTTAAATCCTGAATGGGTTAAACTTCAATTTAAAAATGAAGATTGTGAATTATTAAATGAATATGAAAGCCAAAATAAGCTAATGAGGTATAAATATAATGATAAAGAATATTTAATTTCATGGAATCAATGGAGTCATAATCAAAGACCTCATAAACGAGAAGAAGAAATTGAAAATAATGAAATGGAAATCATTGATGACATTAAAGATGATGGAATTCCTAAATTTTGTAGAAAAACCTTTAGAACTAAGTTAGGAGCATATAAACGTAGAGTATTAAATCCTGAATATCTTAAACATCAATTTAAAAAGGAAGACTGTGAATTATTAAACGCTAATGAATATGAAAATGCTAAATCAAAACTGAGATATAAATATATTGGAAGTGATGAAAGGTGTAAAGATAAAGATAAAGTTTATTCAGTTTCATATAATAATTGGCACACGTTAGGGATAAGAAAACATTTAGGAGAATATGGGAAATGTTCTGAATTCTTTAAATCTAGTATATACGAGAGAGTAAAAGAAATTAGAAATAATTATTTTCATGAATAAAAAATAAACTTTAAAAATTCATGTCTTACATTTTTGAATAATTTATTTTTTTTAATTCGTAAGAAATGAGTGAATCCAAATTTGTGACTGTGAATCAATTAATGGATAAACTTTCACCAATTCTCACCCAGGTTAAACAAGTAGACGTTTATTTTGATGATTACATACAAAGTTTATTTTATAAAGGTAAGTTTAATATTAAACCTATTGCTTTTGCATTTGATGGTAAATTAATCGAAAATTCAAAAATTTGGGAATTAATTCCGGATATTGAATTTATAACAAATATTAAGGATAAATGGTTTAAACAACAAAACCACCTCACTAAAGTTCTTTGTAGAATAATGATTAAAACTGAGGAAAAAGAATTTAACGGGTTTAAATATCATCCGTGTAAAATTTTAGAACTTGGTAACGAAAAACTTCAGAAAAAATTAAACGAAAGACTATCAAAAGATAAAGTTGAAAGAGTAAATAAACTCGCTAAAGGTAATGGTAATGATGAAGAAGAATTTGATGAGTTCAACATAGAACTTTAAGAAACTAATGATTATTTGAATTTATGAAATCAATTATTTGATTCATTCTTTCTTCAATCTCTTCTATTCTTTTTGTTAAATCATCTATTTTCATTAATGAGGTGATTCTTGATTGAGGAATAGATTTCAAACTAACCACTCCTTTTATTTTTGAAATTTTGAATCCATCAACTTTAAACATTTTATTCAATTTACACGTTGTCAATTCTTCAAATAATTTTTTATTATTAGCATAATAGTCATTAAATTCTTCAACAGATGAAAAAATTTTTATTTCAGTAATTGGTTTAACAACGTTTATTTTTTGTTGAACATTTTCACTCTCATTTATTTCTTCCTCCTCTGTTTCATTTATTTTTAAAATCGGTTTCATTTATCATTAAATAAAAATTAGAATATAAGTGATGAAATATATTTTTTTAATTAATATTAAATCAGAAATGGCGGCAGGATTCTTTAAAAAATTATGGGATGGAATTAAGAAAGCTGCGGGTTGGGTTTATAAAAAGATTATTAAACCCGTTGCAAACTTTTTGGCACCAGTAGCGAAAACGGCAGGAACTATCATAGGTGGAGTATTAGGTACTAAAGCAGGTAATCCGGCGATGGGAGCACAAGCAGGTAACGCAGTTGGTGGAATGCTGAAGGAATACTTAATAAAATAGGAGGTAGATAGTGGAAAAATAAATATGAGATCCTATGGATCATCTCGCCGCTTAGCGGCTTAAAATTATTTTTATCTTAGTATCGGTTGTAGTCTTTGATAAACTTTTTCTCCTTTATTTAAAACTTCTCTTATTGGGGCAGCTTTTGGTGTTATTGATTCAGCAACGTCACTAATTGCTTCTTTATTCTTAAATATCCAATTTGCCCCTTCTTCAATGTTTCCCAAACTTTACTCGCTCCTCTTTTTACTCTATCCCACAGTTTCTTAAATATACCTGCAGCCATAGTTGATTATTTCATTAAAATTAAAAATTCATTTTCATCTTTTAATTTTGATTTTTTATTTATTAATAAATGACGACTAACTATTTGGTGCCAAACACTAAACCGATTAATGGAAATGTGTTTCATTCATTCGAAAAGATAAATGAAATATTCGCAAAGAATGACGGTAGAAGATATTATAGAGAACTTGAAAGTTCATGCTATGACTCTGATGCTCCATATTTTGATGATAAACAAACTCATTTAAGAATTACAAATCCGGCTCATGATGTGAACCAATTAGGTGACACATATATTAAACGCAAAGTTAAAGCAACTCTAGTTTCAAATAAAGCTTTCACATGTGATGCCGCTTTTAAATGCATGCGTTTATTCGTTGGTTACAAATCATCAAATCAAAGCTTTAAACAATTAGAAGTAGAAACCGAAAGAGGTGATGCCGGTTATCTTCAGATGGATTGCGCCCGTGAATCTTTCGCATTTGCAACATATAAACCAAAATCAGAAAGGAAAGTTAAAAAGTTTGTTCATTCGTTATATAATAATGTTCAAAAATATGATAACTCAGTATGTGGTAAATATATTGACCCTTCAGAAGTTTTCAAGAAAGCAAATGAAGAAGTTGATGTCACTTTTGATATGATTATTCCGGTAAATGATTTGTTAGCATTTCAGGCGTTCGATGATTATCCTAAATCATTTGGTGATATCATTCTTAAATATTATGTTTTCAGGGATACTTTAGTATTTTGTCAGGTTGACCCGTTAAGAGTTGCTGATTTACAAAATTACGTTTATGAAAAGATAACTGATGAAAATTATGAAAAGATTATGAATCATGTTTATAAATATGATCGCAAATTCCAACAAATCGGACTTCCTGCCAAATTAATTACAAGCTTAGCCGCTACATCTGCTGACGCAACAGTTGATGACGTTATTATTTCATGCACAAAGATGGAAGTTTTAGAGGATAAATGCATTACACCAGGATACGGTTTAATTGAAGAATCAGTTAAAGCAATACCACGTTTATTCAGTAAGGAAGATCCATTCATGATTCCAGCTCAACATATTGACGTTCGTTCACTAAATGGAGGTTGCATCACTCCTGAAGGTATTAGCTCAGATTTCTCATACGCTCTTCATAATGTTACAGATGTTGTGTTAGCATTTCCGAAGAATGCAATGCAAAGAACAGTTTTAGAAAATCCAATGCTTCGAGGTCTTCAGGTCACTATAGATTCCAGAAACTTCCCCGATCAAGCGATGACCACAGTGGGTGACATATTCTTTACACGTATGCTTCAAGCTTCTGATTTAGATGGAGTGAATGAATGCACAGAAGAATACGAGGACTCATTAACTAGACCACTGAATGCAGATGATGGCACGCCATTAGCTAGAACATGGAAAGACCAAACTTCATTCTTATGCACTATTCCAGTTCAACGTGATGGAGCGGGTATATTCTTTGATGGATTAGAAACTTTCAACTCACAAGTTACAGTACAAGTGAAAGCTTATCCAATCATTCAGGGTGAAAATGACACTTACTGTTCAAAGGTGACAAATCCTCCTCAGGTTTGGTTTACTAGGACTACATATTGGACATGGACACCGGATGAAGGTTTGAAATATCATCCAACAGGTACACCACCACAGTATAGAAGTTCATATGATGAAATATTGATGAATAGAAATGTTTAAAATTATAAATTTATTTTTGATTAAATGGATTTAAATTCATACACTCCTTATGAAGAATTAGCAGGAGTATATAATACATACATAGATGATATGATTAATGAAGCATTGAGTGATAATAGAAATGCTCTATCTAAGGAAAAATTAATGAAAATTCCATATTCTGAATGTTACTTAAATTCAATCACTGCAGCAATTGGTAAACAAAATAAAGGTAAAACATTAACGATATTAAAACAAATTATCATTATTGCTAACACTTCCCCCTATTCACATGTGTTAATTTATATCAACCGTTCAGGTTCACCTTCAGATGATACATTTGAATCTTTAAAGCATTTAATCAAAATTCCAATTATTTATTTATCACAAGAAGAAGCAGAAGATTATTTAAAAAACTTTTTAATGTATAAAGAATTATATAATACAATCAAGAAGCAAGGATTAGAGGATAAAATTATTGATAAACAACGGGATGAATTATTTGAAACACTTTCTATTTCAAATTTTGATAGAGAATTTTTGCATTCACTCATTTTTCTAGATGATGCAGTGAAATCAAAACTAATAACAAATGAGAAATCATATTTTAATCAGTTATTAACTCAATGTCGACACATTCAGTGTTCATTCTTATGGCTGTTCAATATTTCAAAGCATTAAGCACAAACATTAAATCAAATCTATCAACACTTTTCATTTTCAGTGGGTTTAGTCGTCAACAGTTGAACGTTATGCTTTATCAAGTGAATTTACCAATGAGCATTAATGAACTTTACACACAATATCAGCAATTAGGTGAACATGGAAAAATAATAGTTGATTTAAATAAAGGAGGTGTTAAATTTGATTAACTTTTTATAATTAATTTTTATTTTTTATTTATAATTAAACATGACAGAAATAGCAAATCTTCTACAGGTTCCATTAAAACAAGGAACAAACAAAAAGGGTGCATATAATAGAACTATGAAAGTTCCTGATGGAATGAAAGAATTAGTTCATATTGTTGCTGGTCTTCAAAAAGATGTTAAACAAATGAGAAACGTTTTAACATTACCAGAAGCTCAAGCATATGCCAAACGTCAAGGTCCAAATTGGGAAGCACACGAAGCAGACATTACGGGTCCAAATGGAAAACCTGATGGTATAAATGAAGTTTTCGTTACTGATGGTCAAGGTAATATTAAAGTCATAAATGGTTATAAATTAACTATAACTGATTATCCTAAACGTAAAGCATATAATGAACGTTATCCTATGCAATTTGATGAAAATGGAAAAGCTGTTAAACAATACATTGGAGAAGGTGAAAATGGTCCAATTAATTCATACCGTTATAATCCATATTCTTATTTCAATGAAGAATTAAATGCTATTGAAGAGGGACCGGATGGATTACCACGATATTCTAACCAGTTTGATGGTCAATATGCAAATATTAGACCTGAAATTTCAGCTAAGAAATTCTTTAAAGTTGCTTTATTCGATCCAGTTTTCGCAAATGTTAAAGATGAACTTAAACAGCAATTCCAACCAATTATAGTAGCAAGAATTGCATCAGGTGCTTTATCTCAAGCATTCAAAGATTTAATTAAGAAACCATTATATCAGCAACGAGGTTTAACTTATGATTTAGTTAAGGAATCAGATAAAAGAAAATTTGAGAAATCAGATGATTATAAGAATGCAATTAATGAATATATTAGGTCTATTAATTACAATGAACCAGCTAAAAATCAACTTCAAGAACAAATACAGGGAATAATAGATTCAAAACTTCCAGCAAAATAAAAGTTTAAATATATTTTTTTATTCGAATATAAATGAGAAGACGTTTCACTAGTCAAAAGAACACTAACGCAAAAGCAGAGATTACGGTTGGTTATAACGTAAATGATGATAAATCACGAATTATTCAAAATGTTAAAGTTAATGTTAGCCCGAATTAACAAGGTCAGCAACTCAACCAAATTTATTAACTCGTGACTTACGAAGAAGAGGAGAATGAAGAAAACCATGAGAATGGGGACCCAATCATTTTATCTGAACCCGGTAAAGAACCTGTTGAAATTCCCACTTATCCAACATACCCCCCGCCTCTTTCATCAAACATCGAGAACCCATATAAAATAGACATTAATTCTGAATTAATGAAAATTTACCGTGATATAATAATTAATAATTATGATTCAATAATAAATTTAATTGATCAATCTGGTTTAATTATTTTTCCTTATGAATCATTAATTCACATTATCGCCATTCTTTGTGATGTTCAAGATTCAGACGTTAAGATTCAATTTTTCATAGATGATGAGGTTTCATGCTGCGGAACAGTTGCAAAAATAAATCCTATAAAGGATATTAGCACAATTAAGATATCAAAGAACGGAACAACAACTGAACTTCATTTAACATATAATGATATTTATAATAAAATAGTTGATGAATATAAAATATCCCCTTGAAAAATTCTTTGTTAAGGCTATTTAATATTCAAGCATTAACATTATCGAATAATAATCCTTTGAATCATAATCAATAATAATTGACCTTTCACCAGTTTCTATCGTTTGTTTTATTTCTTTTTGTTCCCCACTATCCGGATCGGTCATTGTAATTGTTTTTGTTATAGTATCAGCTTTATCTTTAACTTCAATCTTTTTTCCATCGGGATATTTAAACCAAAATTCCAAAAATTCGATATTGTCAATCTGTTCATATTTTAATCTATCAATTACATTTTTAATACCATCTGAAAATCTTTATGAAATGGTCATTATATGGGTTTGATTGAACTAAATTTGAATGAAGTGAAATATAACCTGTTGATGAATATGACACTGACTCATATTTTCTGAAAACACTAAAATTTATAACATGAATGAATTTCTTATTCGTTGAATTTATGAATTCTTGAGGTAATCTTATTCTAGTTTTATTTATCACTGGAAAATAACGCTTTACCATATTTTTAATCGTAATAAAAAATGTCAATTATCAATATTATTTCGAATAATAACTGTGAATTAAATTTAACAGTTAGCGGAATTTATAATGTTACTCTCGTTTCTGTGAGTGGTAAATTTAATCCCATTCTTTTAGCCCTTCAGATTATATATCATTTATTAAAGATGACCTTGAAAAAACGTATGATATGTATATAAATAATGTGATAGCGAAATGGGATATTAACATGATTTTAAGTTATTTAAATGAATCATTATATCGTATGGTATGAAGAAAATTTTAAATCAAAACCTGATAAACTTTTTGAACTTAATGAAAAAATAACCTTATTAAATTTCCGCTGAAAATTAAATTTTGTACTCCTCACCTTCGTTCATTGTTGGGGATATTAAATTTTGAAAAAGATGTTGGGGATGTTTTGTATTCTGACACTGGTTCCAATTTCATTTTAATCAAATGTGATAAAGTTAATACCCCAATGAGATTTTCACATCAAACATTAGACCCTAACTCTTACCCATCAATACAAAACATTTTATCCATCAACTTAAACACATTTTCTTTATCATATCCGTTTCAATTATCCGGGAATTCATTTATTCTTCATTCAAAAGATTTTATCAAATATTAAATTTAGAATAACTGACCTATTTGATTGTGATTTAGAATTTATGAATGAAATATTATGGCAATTTCAAATAGAGAAAATAGCTGATGAGATAACGGATTAAATATTTATTTTTAAATCGTAATAAATGATTAAACAACAGCAACTTAAGGCGCAAAGCACCCAGGTCCTTCAAACCGTTACATACGCCATATATGCATATAATTCAAAGACGGCAGAACAAACGCAAAGGTTGAAATATGGAGATTTGGAGATAGTATTGAAAAATGACCGTTTCGAATTCGTTTGCAAAGGTGGTGCAGTGATATCAAATATAAAAGAAATTTTATTTATGAATTCAAAAATTAAAGGAATAACGGATGATATAACATCAATTCCACCAGAAGAACAGAGATATTACGCATTAAATGCATTTCCTAAAGTTTTGAAGATTGGAAGATTTAATTTAAATGAGGAATTCATAGAAGGTTTCCTAAATGACATAATGAAGAAGGTGGATAAGGAATATGTGGATAGTGAGTTAATGAAGAAAGCAGATAAGGAATACGTTAATACTGAATTAAATAAGAAGGCAAATTTGGTTTATGTTGATGAAAAAGATAATGAAATTAAAGAAAAGGTTGAATGGTATCATGAATGGACATTGGAGACTTTTAAAGTTAAAGCTGATACAGAATGGGTTTCAGGATGTTTAGACTTTAAAGCAGATAAAACTTATGTTAACGATGAGTTAGAGAAGAAGGCAAATTTGGTTTATGTTGATGAAAAAGATAATGAAATTAAAGAAAAGGTTGAATGGTATCATGAATGGACATTGGAGACTTTTAAAGTTAAAGCTGATACAGAATGGGTTTCAGGATGTTTAGACCTTAAAGCAGATAAAACTTATGTTAACGATGAATTAGAGAAGAAAGCAGATAAGGAAAAAGTTATTTCATTCATTAATACTGAGTTAGCAAAGAAAGCTGATATATCATTTGTTAATGAAGAAATAAAACAATCAGAGGTCTATTTTACTCCACCATTTTTAAATTTTATGAAATCATCAGATAAAACCTTTGATATAGATTCTTTTGATTGGATATGTTTCGATGGAGTGACCATGTATTTATTTTATACAGCTGGAGTGCTTTATTATTTTAAAACAAATGATTTTAAAAATTATGAATCATTTACTCCATCTGTTTGGAATCCTGATACACGAAAGCCAATCATTAATCCAAGAATTTTATATGTTGAATATAATAACGGTAAATTTATGGGAATGATAACGGTTGGAGATGATTTTTGCCCTTGTTATTCATTCGATTGTATCCAATGGTTCAAATGTAATTTAAATCAAGATGCTAAATTTAAATATCCAAATAATCCTATTAGATGCGTTAATATAAATGGTACTAATTTATGAAGTCAATCAAATTTATTAGTGAGGATGGGATAAATTATTATATGTTTAGTATGATGTCATCAGATTTGAAAATTGATTATACAAGTAAGTGGTATTACATTAACAACATGTATTTTATCCTACAAAATGATAAAATTTATAGATCATATTCAATACCACAAGGTCAATTTGAACAAATTTTTCAAGCTGATGGAGACATTGAAGCTGTATGTTATGGATCAAATGTTTATGTTCTCGTTTCAGGTGGAATGGTCTATTCATATCCTGTAAGTTATAACAGACATATTTATTTATCACAGGATTTTTCACAGGATCCAGAGAAAACACCAAGTTGGGAATTGGTTTATTCATTCACTCCAAAACTTACTCGAAATTATAGATTTACTAATTTATTTTATATTGATGGGTATTTCATTGCTTTTGGATGTGGTGATTTAGTAAATATCAGTAGTGATGGAAGAAACTGGTCTGAAATCACAAAATTTCAAGATGTTAGAAAAGCAATTTTCAAAAATAATACGTTAATATTGATAACAAGACCAGTTTTAAATACTCTTCCAATCAATTTATTTATTCTATTAAATTCATCTCTTCCAATCAATTTATTTATTCTATTAAATTGATTGGAATAAAAATTATATTTGGATTGAGTTTAAAAATTCATCTTTATTAAATTCATCTCTTCCAATCAATTTATTTATTCTATTAAATTCTTTTATTTTTGCTTCACTCAGTTTAAGGATTGAACGGTAAGTTTCTAATTTTTCGATTATTTCTTTCCTCTCTTTATCGTTTTCAGTTCCTTTAGTTTTATGGGCATCAGCCCCGCCGCATTGCGGCTTCTTTTTGTAATAGCATATTTTTGATTTAATTCTGTTTAGTTTCTTTTTATATTCATTGTCTGGACTCTGAATCTTAATTGAATCAGGACTCTTGGATGCTTCGTTGTCACTCATTTCTTACGAAATAAAAAAATTAAATATTATTTAAATATAATGGAGTAATAAAATAAATCGGAATTTCTATTAATTTATTGTCAACTTCAACTAATGCATTGCCGTTAATATATCTAACAAATTCAGCTATTGTGTCAAATCTTCGTCTTCTTTTTGTCATTGATTTATCAGTTTTTCCATAATCGAGATGAATCAAAACTTTATCCCCTTGTTTAAAATTCATGAGCCCCGAATTAATTTGTTCACGTTTAACATCATTTAACCTTTCCATTTGCTTTCTAATATATCCCATTCTTTTGAAATATCATTTTTCATTTCCACTGGTTTCATGTTTATAGTTCTATGCCATGTATTATTGTAATAATATACTAACTGCTGTATGATGGAGTCATGATTTCCATCCCAGTATATCTGACCGTTAACCCTAACGCATCTCTAAGAGTTCTCATTACCGCATCAACTATTTTATTATGAAACGTATATGGAGAAGATGAGAAGTAAAATTAATTTGTGGGAAATAATGAGCCATAGCTGCCTGAAATCCTTTCACCATCACCCCTTATTATCTACTCTTTCATGATCTAGTAAAGTATTGTATAGCTCTTCTTGTTTCCTGTTCTGTTTTCCTTTCACCGGAATGCAATATAAATATCTAGTGTTAATGTTAATGGCGAATAAATAAGTAACGTTTCCTTTTGAATATTCCAGATGATCTATTTTGTATGAATATGGATATGGTGCAAATGAAGGGCGACTAAATTTTTCCTTTAACGGTTGAATTTTCGGGTCAATTGGTTTATTTAATATTTTGAAATCCTTTTTAAAATCTTTTTGCTTCTTTAATGTTTGAAATGGATATAATATGAATGATGAAGGATTAACTGAAGGAGGAGGTACTACCGTTGGAGGTTTTGGTGTTGCAAGTGGTTTAATTTTATCTGCTTTGATTTTTGGATGATGAAGTTTTAGTTGTTGATTTTCCTTTCATTAATTCTGGATGTATTCTATTCATTTGTTTTAAATATGCTGTATATAAAGGTTTGATATACTTTCCCACTTCGAGTTTATGTTGAAGGATGAATTCCAAAAGTTGATCTTCATTTAAAAGTCGGGCTGAATATGGTTTAACTAATGAATCATAAATTAAGCTTGTGCTTCATTTATGGTCTGAAGGACCTGGGCGTTTTGCACCTTTAGCTGTTGAACATTTGCTACTTTCTCTTTTGGTGTTGTTTTCGGCTTTTTCTTCTTTTGTTTTTTTCCCTTTGGTTTTTGCGGCTCAGGATTATATAATTTATATAATTCATCAATATCTTCTTTTGTTGATACTTTATTTTTGAAATCTTTCAACTGTTTAAGTTGTGATTTAGTTTTTCCCTTTGTATATTCATTATTTTTAATTTTGTCTTTAATTTCAGAAATTATTTTATCATAATATTTCAAAATTTCATTTTTATAATACGAATAATAATAACCATATATCACCCGTTATATTGTTATTATTTTTTTGGAGATATGATTTAATTCATAATAATTAAGAAAATTTTGATTAAGTACTAAATCATCAATTAAATTTTCTAAATCTGCGTTATCCATTTATATAAAAATAAAATAAATGTTTTAAGGGTGCCCACCTCTTTGAATCATAGTATCAAAACTATTATTTACATATTGAATCGCATCATTAACGGTTCCTCCTTCTAAAACGGTATCAAATGGTGGAGTCCAGATTTCCTGATGATGATCAAAAAATCCAGCAAAATTAACCGTATTATTAGGTAAAATATGAATCTCAGCGGTATATCTTCTATCTAAATTTGGATGCCTTATATGTATACCATTACTACCCGGATAAAATCTCAAACCTTGATTTTGTTGACGCATCAAATTATTGAAATTTCTTTCTTCAGGGGTGAATGTTCTTCTCCGTTGATGCTGTGGTGGTGGTGGTGGGATTAGAAAAATTCGTTGCGGTTGATTATTTGGAATCTGAAAGTTAAAACCATTTGGTATAAATCGATTTGGTTCCTTTTGTCTCTTCTGTGGCATTTCATTAAAAATAAAATTTTAAATTGTATTCAATAAATGGCATACAACATCCATTTTCACAACATACAGCCTTAGTGTGTGCTCCTGTTAATGCAGTCTTACCGATTGTTAAGCGAGTCATTGACCCGTTTTTAAGTTGTAAATTAATATTCTGACCATCAAATATCACTTTATCATTTATTATATCCAAATAATTTTTAGGTGTTAATTGTTTATTTTGTCGTAAACTAACACCTTTCATTTTTTGTGCAATCTTTTTAAAATCACTTCCATCAATTGAACCGTTGAATGAAGTATAACACTTAGGACATAACGCCACCATGTTATCACCTTGTTTCTCAATTGCTAAACCCAATAACTTCTTCTCATGTGCTTTTTCTTCAGCTTTATTCTTTAATTTAGGTTTAAATTTCTCTCATCAAAACAGAAGAAATCAAAAGGTGCGAATTTGAAAATGTTTTTCATAAAATTTTTTATCGGTTACAATCGCCTGAAATGCTTGAGTGTTAGGAAGACTTGGATCGCCAGCAATAGCCCAATAAGATGAATCAGTATCACCTTCAATGAAATGAAAACGATTAACATCCATGCATTTATACATAAAATCATAAATGAAAACTAAATACCAGTATTTTGCGTTATCTAAAGTAAAAAATGCCTCTTGTAAACATGTATCACATCTATAAAATCTATCTTTGAGCATCACTTGATACGTATCCTCTCCTATTTCTCTTATGTTTTTAAACTTATTTGACATACATGCAACGCGTGCCTTCTGTGCATTCATTATTTTAGTCTTTGCGTAATTTTGTGTATTCATTGCATCGTAACCATATGATCCATTAAGCGAAATCTTGCAAAATAAACTTTTTCCTTTATTTCCTTCTAATTCAGCCTTTTGTCTTTCGTTCATAAATTTGTTCGCAAATTCATTAAAACAAGTGTTTTTAGTAAATGTTAAAATTGATTGAATGTCATCAATGATAAAATTAAACCTGTCGATTAGATACCATAGATAATAAGAAGAAAATGGTTGATATTGGTTGTGTGTTGATGCTAACTGAGTTAATTTCCTCTGTTTCTGGTCAACTGGTAGATTGTTTGATTTCATGTAATTATACATAAAACTGCCAATTGTTTTTTCATCTGTGATAATATCTAAGTTTCTTATTATCGGTAAAAAGTTTATGTAATCATTAATGTATTTTTCATCAATGTGACCCTTTACTTCAGCCACGAATAAAGTATTTTTCTTTCTAATAATTCCCAGTGCTTTTGCTTTCTTTGTTGCTGTATCACAAATGATAACACCATTCAATCTTCCCGGCATATACATTTTATGGTCAGTATATTGAATGAAATCATGAGGATTAGATGAAAATGATGAAGGATTAATGAATTAAAATCAACACCAACGAAATGAGTCATGATGTTGGAAGTGTCCTCATTTGATACAGTTTTAGTTTCTGGACTATATGAAAGTTTATTAATGTGCGTGATTCCTTTAAGATTAACACGATGTTGAACATTTGATAGACCACCAGTAATTCCATTACGGAGAATGTGATAAGCTTCAACTGAATCTAAAGTCATTGGTAAATTATTTTTTAATGCATAATTTCTTAAATTGATTCTTAAACGTTGAACATCTTCATCTTTATTTGATTTTACGACATTGCAATAACAACACATTAACTGACAATTTTCTTTGGTATGTGGTTTTTCATTATCGATTCTATCCAATGTTGGTTTATTGTGCATATGTAAACGCTTTACCACACATTTTGCATTTAGATGAAAGGATTAAATTGTGATAGTATTGAAAATCATCCATTGAAACATTATTTTTTAGTATCTCTTTCTGCTTTTTCATCTTGTTTCTTATATGATTCAATTTTATATTTCCAATACTTTTTCGTTAATTCAAAACTTGATTCTATCTCTTCTCAGGAATTTTTCATTAGGATTAAAGTCTTTATATGCTAAAGCGTAACGAATCATTGAAGCATTCGATGATAAAGAAAGATTATGAAGCATATCAATTTTATAAACAAATGTTTCTTCAATAATTTTATCGATTGGGTCAATCATAATTTCAACATCTTTATATGCAATAATGAATAAAATATTTAATCTATTCTTAAAATTTTAGCATCATTGAGATATATTTGATAATCACTATCTGATATAGTTTCTTGAGTTAATGCGAATAAAATGAATCTTTCGTGAATGGTTCCTCTTTAATAATTTTCTTCGAATTCTCCCATGTGATAAATTGATAAGGGAAAAAGGATTTAACACGTGATTTATTGTTTCCGAAATCTTGAGCGAATTGGTCTAATGTCCCACCCGCTATATAATTTCTGATGTCAATAAATCTCAATTCATATGGAGCGTTTGTTTTCTTACAATGACTTGCTTAAATTGAGAAGAAGCCCAGCATTGATTTTATTTTCCATTTTGCAGTGTTTAAATCACGAAGAATTAAATTTAAATCAAACTTTCCCGAATTAAAACTATGATATTCACTTTATTGAATTCCTCATCTAGAAGTTCTTTAAATGCTTCCTTCTGTTTTTCATTTAATGTATGGGACAAAGTCCCCGCCGTTTGCGGCTTCATTAATTCTTCATATTGTTCAATATTTGATTCAACAACTAATGAACAGGTTGAAATAAAAACTCAATCCAATCAGAAATAAAAGATCACTCGAAGTTAAGCAAAAATTCCTCGTATACGTTTTATCATTTAATTTAACGTTGATGATACCATGAATGGTTTTAAGTAGCGTTCAAAGTTGCCACTCAGAAAGTTGTAATTCTTCTTTAGTCTCTAATGTTTCGAAGTCAAAGTAATATAATATCTTGTCGGTTTATAATATTTCTGCAAATTGTGAGCTAATAACCACTGATATATCTTCTGTTTCGTAATATGTGGTGCATATGGTTGCTGGGTCTTTTGCAATTGAACGTCTTGAATTAATCTTCCATTATTTTCTTTACATTTCTCACAATGCTTTAAAAATCTTCTTTGGTTTTTCCTTTCTGGATCATCACGGATAGAATAAACTTCTTCTTTACAATATGGACAAACTTTATAGCCGTGAGTGCTTCAACGTCTGTTATTCTGTCAGCGTGAAGTTTTCCACATGGACTCTGTGTTAATAAAATATTTACTGTTTCAAATTCTGGATCTATCATTATTGATTCCACTAATGGAAAGTCTACCTTATTTATGTCCACGTCTTCTGGTTGAGGATCACAATAATAGAAATCAATATTAACATTTAACATTCTCGCTAATCTCTCACTTTCTGATGAAATGTCAAACCCTTCATATGCATCTATTGCTTCATTTAAAAAGCTTCTACGAGTTTTAGGATTAACACCATCAGGAATGTTATAGAAGCGTTTAAATAACCTTCTACCTTCTGCTCTAATTTGATTATCATTCATTTTAGCTGTTCCGTTTTTGTTCATTTATGTAAGAATAAAAAATTAAAAATAAATAAAAATAAAGTTTATTTTTTAAAGCCCATAAAATGAATTAAGAACACATAAATTTTTATCATCTGCGACGTGACGAATACATTTTAATTTACTCAAGAATGCGTACCCTGATACATTAAATCTAATTCCTGTCTTATTTAATTTCACAACTTTGAAAAGGAATGTATGAATAGCTATAAAATGATGAGAAGATGTTTTATGGGTTGCTTCCATTTTTTCTGAAATAAATGAATAAATATAATGTTTATAAGTTTTCATATCTTTTATGTTCTTAATAACGAATGGTATAGACCTTTCAACTTCATCTTCCTTCGGTGCTGTTCTTTCATATGAAACATTATTAGTATCTTCAACAATGAAACCGCAATCACATAAAATTTTATATGTTCCAATGGTTTCTTTTGATATTTTATCTAATAAATCAAAAACTTTATCAACACCTGTGCATTTATTTAAATAATAATTTGTGTAAATATCATGATCTTCTTTCTTAATCGTATTAGTTGCATATGTCACGTTTTTAAGAGCTTTTTTGAATTTTTCGGAATCTAAAGGTGGTGAAAGCAGGATACAGGGGTATTCTTCATTATCAATAAATTGTAACTTATGTTTACGAATAAATTTAGTACCTTCTTCTGAAAGTGTTTCGTCTATTTCACCATCTAATAAATTTTGTGTTGATTCTGAGACATAATTTTTATATCTTTCTTCATGAGATTTCTGAACTTCTGCTATTCTGAAGCTGGGATATTCATTAACCCTCTACTTCATTTTCATTATATTTTTCAACTTCTCTTAATTCCTTAATTTTTTCATCTATTTCATCTCTTATTTTTTCCAGTCTTTCAATTTCATTGTATTCATCATCTTTAATCCGTTCTTCATAATATTCAGGGAAAACATCAGGTTCTTTAGGTTTTTCTTCTCAGATGTGGGATATAAGAAATTTATAACATCATCTTTATTCATTTTTCCATCATAATCTAAATCATTTAATAACTCGGCAAATTTTTGACAATTTCTTAAATAATATTTATTAACTTCATAACCCGCCTCCTCTAATATATCCTTTATTTCCTCGTTTGTGAATCCTAATTTTTTCACGTCGTTAGTTTTGACGCTCATTTCATACAAAATAAAAAAATAAAATAATAAACATAACTAAGTTTTAATTTTTCGTAAGAAGTTTATTTTTTAAAAATTTTTTTATTTTTTATTTCATTATGGTAGTGAATCTTTTATTCATGAAAATAATTATATCTGATTTATTTTACTCTCTCGTATATACTAGATTTAAAGAATTCAGAACATTTCCCATAATCTCCTAAATGTTTTCTTATCCCTAACGTGTGCCAGTTATTATATGAAACTGAATAAACTTTATCTTTATCTTTACACCTTTCATCACTTCCAATATATTTATATCTCAGTTTTGATTTAGCATTTTCATATTCATTAGCGTTTAATAATTCACAGTCTTCCTTTTTAAATTGATGTTTAAGATATTCAGGATTTAATACTCTACGTTTATATGCTCCTAACTTAGTTCTAAAGGTTTTTCTACAAAATTTAGGAATTCCATCATCTTTAATGTCATCAATGATTTCCATTTCATTATTTTCAATTTCTTCTTCTCGTTTATGAGGTCTTTGATTATGACTCCATTGATTCCATGAAATTAAATATTCTTATCATTATATTTATACCTCATTAGCTTATTTTGGCTTTCATATTCATTTAATAATTCACAATCTTCATTTTTAAATTGAAGTTTAACCCATTCAGGATTTAAACAATGTTTAATTAATCGCGGAATATCTGACATCATCTATATATAGCTTCTTTTATAAAAGATAAAAAAATAAATTATTTTAAAATTAATGTTAATTTTTTAATGATTTATAAATAAATATATTTTAATGCATCGTCTATATATAGATGTAACAAAAAAAGTCACTAAACCCGTCATATCCTACTACTAATCGACATTGGACGTGTATTAAGCGTAAATATACACATGTTCATGCACATAATGATCATGAAAGTTGCAGCAGTTATGAATATGTGAACAACAACGACAACTCTTTTTACTGGTGTAAATGGAGAAATCCAACACAATTTGATTATAAATTCAATTAATAAAATTAATTTCATAGGTAATGGTATACATGTGTAGAGTTGATTTGATAAAATTAACGATGTATAAAGTTTTATAATTTACCCGAAATGCTCACAATTTTATGTTCTTTTTTAAAACGATACGGAAAATTTAATAAACATTATTGACTCGTCCCATTTAATTTTTCTATCGGAAATTTATCACGCGTTTCCTCTAATTTTCATTGTATAGATTCTTATTGATATTTACATTTCAATAATGAAATGTTTTATATTTCTCAACCTGCATGTTTATTTTTTCTTCCGTGAATATAAAATGGAATGCTCGGATTCGTATAGCGAAGAAGAGGAGGAAGAAGAATCTATCATAAAAAGATGGATTATCCAAGGTATTGATAGTTTAAAGAATCAGGATATCAAATCTAAAATGTATCACGCCAATGGATCCGATATTACATATTATTTTTACTTAGAAAATTATTCTGATGACAACACACCTATAAAATTCCATATTGTGTTCCCAACAATAGAATACGCTTTGAAATTACTTATAGAAGTAAAAATTGCCAACAAAAATTCCGCAATAAAGGGAAAACAGATCGTTTGCATTGAAAAAGCTAATGATGATTCTTCATTTTGTTTAAACAACACATGGAAGTATCTATTGGACCCAGAAAATAAGTTCATGATCAATAATAATTTATTTGTTGAAGTAAAACTGTCGGAATACGTGGAAAAACAATCTGTACAGTTCAAAACACCCAGTGATTCTACAACAAAACAAGTTTATTCATCGGTTTCCAAATCATCTTGTGCAATTTACTCCAAAGACGAAACAGGATATGTTGGACTACAAAACCAAGGTGCAACATGCTATATGAACTCAATGTTGCAGGCTTTGTACCATATTCCTGAGTTTAGAAGGCTAATTTATCAAATGGACGTAAATTCAATAGAAGGAGCAAACAAAGACATACCCATTAACTTACAAAGACTATTTTGTCAACTACAGTTCTCAGATACAGCTCCTAATACCAAAGCTTTGACAAAATCTTTCGGATGGAACAGTCTAGCGACATTTATACAGCACGACGTACAAGAATTCGCTCGAATATTAATAGACAAGATCGAATTGAAGCTAAACAAAACACCTTTACAGGGAAAAATCGCGGAAATGTTCAGAGGAGAGTTCACTTCATTTGTGAGGTGTCCAGACTGTGGCTACGAAAGCTCTACAACCGAATCTTTCTACGATATATCGTTAGAAGTCAAAGATACGAAAGATCTCAAAATATCTTTGAAAAAGTATACGGAAAAGGAGCTTTTGACTGATGAGAATCAGTATAATATAGAAGGAAAAGGCAGATTTAACGCAGAAAAGGGAATAGAATTCACAAAATTCCCTCCGATATTAAATTTCCATTTAAACAGGTCAGAATACGATCCTGAGAAGGAACAGATAGTAAAGATCGATAGCCGATTCGAATTCCCTGAATCTATCGACTTAAACGAGTTTTTGGCAGAAAATTCGGACCAAAAAAATTCTTCTCAAATCTATTCACTTTTCGGAGTCCTTGTTCACTCTGGAACCGTAAACTACGGTCATTACTGCGCTTTTTTGAGGACTTCGTCGAATGATCCTCAATGGTACGAATTTAACGATACTTGCGTGCAAAAGGTGAGTAAGGAAAAGGCTGTAGATGATAACTACGGAGGCGCGAGCAATTTCAGCGGCTATTATTTGATTTATGTAAGAAATTCTGATGCCGAGCGAATTTTCAAGCCAGTGACGGATGATGAAGTCCCCGAGGCCTTGAGAGAGTGGTATCGCAATAAAACAGAGCACAGATCCCCTAAAAAAGCCGGTGATGAAAATTTATTCTTGTATACTGAAGATTCCATCAAATGGACAACTAGATTAGGCATGCCATCATTCGTATGTAGTGATAAGAAGCGTAGTATTCGTATAGAAGGTGGAAAAATCACTGGAAAAGAATTATACGACAAATGCGCACATGAATTCCAATGGAATCGTGATGAAATCAAAGTTTGGAGACTTTACTATAATAATGTGCCTTCGTCAGTCGTTGATGATGATAATACCCAGATTTCTTTGTTTTACAAAAATTTCTTCGTCACAAAAAGTGACAAAAATTCTGAGGTTCAGAAAAATTTCAATGATTACATATATGTTTACTGTTGTTTCTTCTTTACTGATGCAGAAATGCCTCTACAATACATTGGAAACTTTATTATCCAAAAAACTTCGACAATTAAAGATTTAGCCTCATTAGTCAATGAAAGAATAGGATATCCTGCTGATACACCTTTGGAATGTTATGAACTCATGACGAATGAACCTCTTAAGATCGAAATTACTGATGACAGCGGTGAATTAAGAACATTTGAAAATTATTGTGTCTCTTCAGGTTCGATTTACATTTTTGAGGTTGCCAAACATCATATCAGACCCAACACAACCACTTTCGAGATCCTTCCACCTCTTTCTGAAGAAGATAAACATATTTTGCATTCATCCAGTCGTTCTTACCTTAATCAGAGCCAATCGTCATCATTTTCAAGCAAATATGAACTCTATGAAGACAACAGAACAGAAGAACTCTCAAAAATCCAAAAAATTCAAAAAATACCAAAAATACCAAAGCCAGAAAAACAAGTTCCAGTGTTTTTCTACGATGAAGAAGACAGTAGTGATGACATTGATGAGCAATGCAACAAGAAAAAGTCAATTTCCGCCTTTTTTGAACAAGATAAAAAATTATTAAAGTGTCAGATCTATTCCTACAAGGCTAGGGATGAAAGACTTGCTACAATAGTCATCCATTCGACATTATCCATCGAAGAATTGACACTTTTCCTCTCAAAATGTCTTAATTTTGATTATAATCCCGAAGAAGATGCTATTTGCATATACAGGATCACTCACAATGGAATGTCATTGATGTACGAAGGCACTATTTCCTATTATCTTCAAGAACATCTCGGAATTAACGGATATTTCACCTTATTTGTTGATTTTGAGAAAAGAATTACTTTTGACGAGCTTAGCAAACGAACATTGATCAATGTCACATTCCGAAATGAGGATAATCAGATCAAATCCAGTCTAATTCGTATGAATTTGAAAAGTTCAACAGCAGAAATCGTAAATGACGCATTGACAGAGTTCAATGAAGAGATCACTGAATCTATGAGTGTTTTCAATGTCGTAGACCACAGAATTGTTGGTTTGGCAGATTGTGAAAGTATATTTGATTCATATTTATGCCAAGACTTGATAATTACATCATATGATGACTCTTCATTGAGTTGTTTCTTCTGTTTCACTGTAATTTGCGGCTGTTGGCAGAGATTTGTTGGAATTCCAGGTTCAGTTGTTTTAAATGAGTCAGATACATCGAAATCCCTGAAAAAGCGACTGAATGTTGATGATGACTGGAACTTGGTCATTTCACAGAACTCTAATTTCTTAGTTAGAAATAACGAATTCGTTGGATTGTCTCTTTCTTACAAGAATGGATTAGTAAGAGATGATGAAAACGTCCTGCAAAAATGGCGTGAAAGAGATGATGGAACAGATACTATATTTTTCGTTCGTTTCGAACAGAAATCATAATTTATTTTTTATTTTTGTTATATAAAATGTTTTTCTATATTTAAATTTAAAAGTAGTCCGATACAGAAAAATTGAAACGATTGAGGGAGACCGACGCGAAGGATATGATAATGTTATTTTTTTTTCGAAACTATTGTAACGTAGATGGAAAAAATAACCACTTTCTGACATTCTCTCAATTTTTTGACACCCTAGCTTGTTATTTTAAATCACTACCTAGTACCTTATATTAATGCTATACTTTTTTTTGCAATTACAATAAACATATATTGATATCATGCCTTCATGCAAGAAAGTAGTATGTGCACCATTATATTTAGATATGGATCAAGTTATTTTTTATTTTTTATTTTTTTTTGGGTTTTCCTACAAGTGCAAAAAATGCGCAAAAACAATTATTTTACATTCAATTTGCACATTATTTGAGCGTTTATAAATTAATGATTTTGATTATTTATAATAGTCAACTCCAAACTTTTTCAAATGCGCAAAATATGCGCAGATTCAATTTTATATAATCGTTTTTGCGCATTTTTTGCACCCCATGTAAAACCCTTTTTTAAAATTTTTTTTATTTTATTTTTTTTTGATAATAATATAACGTAGCTGGAAAATAGCAACAACGTACTAAGTTTTGTCTCATCCATAATGTCAGTATCATACAAAATTCAGCGAAAAATTTCGGATTTTAACGATAGCCTTCGTTTGGCCGGACTGTAAACAATTGAGTGAATTTTGACTTGAATCTTATTTTTGACAAAAATTTGTCAAATGCCATTATGTTCTTTGCCTTTCTTTTAAATCAAGCGAAAAGCTATAACCAAATTCTTCTTAAAGATCCAAAGAAACACCGAAGAGTTTTGCATCCAATTACTAATGACAATATTCCATTGGGTATTATTAATCAAAAAGTTGAAAATCTTGAAAGAGATTACTCCACAGGTGATCTAAATTCAATTGTTGATCAAATTTCTAACGAGTTCAATCTTGAAAGGAATAGAGTTCAGAATTATTTTATTCTTTGCAAATGGAGTTCATATTCCAAACAACTTTTTAACAGGATTGATTTTAATGCGCAAGAAGAAGGCTATAGAGTTGTAATATTGGCCGGAACTGTTATCAAAATTACCAAAACAAATGGAGTTTTCACTGTAAATTGTCGCATGGCAAAATCTTCCTGCAACCTTCATAATAACAAGAAATTACAAGAATTTATTAATTTTCAAAAGGATTCTGTTGCAATTCCTATTCCAGCATTATATGAATTTGCTTATAAACATAAGATGTTCTATAATAAACCATGGGAACCACTTTCGCCGCAAGAGATTACTAATATCTATAACGAGTTGAATAGCAAAATTGAAGGACTCGTTAATACTTATAAAAACATTTAAAATATGATTATTTCCCCTCCAAGAATAAATACACCATTTTTATTCTTCCTATATGCACATTTTTACTACTTAGGTGATATTTATATATGTATTAATGCTTTGAGAATGTTTTAATGTCAGCAGTAAACGTGGCAAATAATAATATTGAACAGCTGGAATTCGTTGGATTGTCTCTTTCTTACAATATAAATATAAATCTTGGATGTCAAAAAATTAAGAGAATATTACCCTGAAGATGGTTAAGGTTATTTTTCTTTGCAATTGATTTTTCCATATGATGTCTTTTCCTTCAGTTTGTTTTATTACATACTAGAATAGTTTTAGTTAGTTTACTTTCATAAGCAACTAACTAGTGATTTTATTTTTATTAGAGTATGAGGATACAACAAATGGTGTTGAGTATGACTCAGAGTCAAGAAAGGTCATTATCAGTACTCCATCAAATCTTAAACATTTTGTTATTCCTTCAAGTGTTGAAATCATTCGTGGCGGTGATAGCACATATAAAAGTTCATTTGATGGCTGCCGTTCATCCATTATTTCAATATCCTTTGAAGATAATTCAGCTGTTCACGAGATCGACGAATGGGTTTTCTCATACAGTTCTCTTCAAACTATCGATATGCACACATGCAATAATCTTCCATTCTTAAATTGCTCTCTTTTTTCCAATTCACGACGATTAAATAACATTAAATTTCCCCAAAATATCAAAGAGCTTCGATCTGGGTGTTTCTATAATACTGAATCACTGAAATTAGTTGTATTTCCAGATTCCTTAGAAAAAATTTATGGCTGGTCTGGTTCTCATATGCGAGTTTTTAATAATTATCTAGAATCCGTTACAATAATGTCAAATTCCAATCTTACAGAAATCGACTCTGATGCATTTTATTATACAAAATTAAAATATTTTTTATACCTCAAAAAGTTCGATTAATTGTTCCATCAGCCTTTTCAGGTGTTCCTATTGAGAGATTTGATGTTGATTCAAGAAATCCAAATTTTAGATCAGATGGTAAAGTTATTTACAGTGGAAATAACAACAACACATTACATCTTGTTTCATACATTATGTCAGGATCATACACAATTCCATTGTTTGTAATTTATATCAGTAATAACTGCTTTCGAGATAGCCAAGTTTCAAAAATAATTATCCATCCAAATATAGAAATAATAGAAACACATGCTTTTGTGTCAACACGAATCACATCATTTGAATATAATTCTAAGATAACACGTATTGAAGATGCAACTTTTGCTGGTTGTGGTAAGCTTGAAAATGTCACCGTAAATGATTTGATAACATTTATAGGATCTGGAGCTTTTTCTGGATGCAGTTCATTGAAAAATATCAAACTTCCTCCCAGTCTGACAACAATTGGGTCATCAGCTTTCATTGGCTGCCAACAATTAAATGACATGATATTGCCTTCAAGTGTGACAACAATGGGAAGTTCAGTATTTAAAGGTGTTCGATCAACATTTGTTCTCAATTGCTCTAATAACAATAACTTTTACATGGAAAATGGCTTGTTTTATGTAAGTGGCAAGCAAAAATTATTGGAGTACTTCGAAAATGCACAAACATCAGTAGCCATACCTTCTGAATGTACTACTGTTTCTGATTCAGTTTTTAAATCATCGTCTATCCAGAGCATCCAATTTTCAGGTAGTTCTGAGATGACAATTGGAAGAGAAGTTTTCTTAGGATCTTCAGTTCGAACCGTTTCATTTCCAGCATCTTTGAAGTCCCTTGGAACAGGATGCTTCAGGAACTGCTTAATGCTGACGACAATCACATTCACAGGTACCATGATAACTGAGATTCCAGTTGACTGCTTTAATAACTGCCTTAAACTCAAAACAATAACTTTGCCAACATCAATTCAATTAATCAACAAGTATGCATTTTATGGGTGTACATCTATTGGTGACATTGGATTAGATAAGACAAATCTAAAGCAAATCCTGGAAGAAGCATTTAGTGGTTCAAGCTTAACTTTGGCAATACTTCCATCAACAATAAGATTCCTCGATTACAAGTGTTTTTACAAAACAAAAGTTATTAAGTTTTCAGCACCATGTGATATCCCTAAAAGTTGTTTCCTGTCATCAGACTCAATAGAGTCAGTCAATATCAGACATGGATGTGTTACAATTAATGATAATGCATTTGACAGTTGCAGATCCCTTATTTCAGTTAACATATCGAGCAGTGTTAAAACTATTCGATATGGTGCATTCGCAAACTGCATCAGTCTTCGAAACTTCTTCATCGGTCTGAACGGATCTCTCAATATCGTTCAAGGTGGATGTTTCAGCAACTGTCCTGACCTTCTTAGCATCACACTTGACCCACACGAAGGTCATTTCCGCTTCTCAGGTGGTGCACTTACCGACTGGTATGAGACTAAGATCATCTTCTTTCTTCCAAACTCAAACATCAACACATTCATCATTCCAACCAGCATGCGCACTATTGGAAATTATGTTTTCATGGGTGCGTCTAAACTTACACGTGTCTTGTTCAACGGTAACCAGATCGAAGAGATTGGTTATGAATCATTCAAAGGTTGTATCAACCTCGAATTCCTCTTCTTCAACTCACCAAGTCTGCAACGCATCAATTCCAACTCATTCGAAGACTGTCCATCTCTTCACAAATGCGGAACTATCTCATGTCCAGCATCGGTAAAAAACATATTCCTTCAAAATTCTTTCAGCGAGAAGAGCTTTGATAGTAATTGTCCTGTTAATAAAATCTGTTCAGTTCAGTGCCGTCCAATTAATATACCCCAGCTTCATGTTTTTATTGTTATGTACTTACAATAAAAATTGAGAATGAAGAATTTGTGAGAATATTAGTATATTATTATCTATACGGAGACTGCTATTATTGATATTAATCTCAGATATTGTCCATAACCATTAAATAATCTTTAAAAAACGAAACTATACGCCAGAGTTAATTAGTATTTATTTCAGAATATAGAATTTTTTGATATATTTAATGAATTTAGCCAATTTGAGGAAAATTGATTTGAAAATATCTGAAATTAAGAGAACTTGAATGAATTAATTAGGATAATTTTGTTATGATTGAAGAATATTCAAATGGATTATTTTGATAAATTCTATTCGGAATCATATTCTATGAAAAATGATTTACATCAATATGATTTGAACAGATATCTGTTCATATTTAATCAGGCCTAATATTTAAAATTTGAAAATATTTGAAATTAAATTCAACTAAAAACTTAATGATTTGCATATAAAATGGACGTAGTTATCATGTAATACTTCTAACAAGACTTTTCTGAAAAGATTATTATTTGAAGTTATGCAAGGCTATTCTATTTTAAAAATATTTATCATTATATTCATTTGTAATCATTAATTTAAAAATAATGACTTTTCTCTCAATTTATTTTGTAATAAAATTCGCAGATATTAGATTTTAATTAATATAAAAATATTGGCCAATAAAAACCTTTGATCAACCAACTGTTAAGGGTGCACTGTAGTCGGTTTGACAGACCCTCAATTTCGATCAATTGGACATTTAAGGCTAAATCTTTTCTAATTATAACTCCTTACCTATTAAACATTTTTCAATTTTCTTCTTTTATTATCCATCTGTATATTATCACTAATCTACATTATAAAAATTAAAGAAATATTTCTTGAAATGATGGAAATTTAGAAAGGAGTGTCAAACCGCTTACAGTGCACCCTTAAAATCGGAAAAAAATCGAAAAATGCAAATGATCTCAAAACTCTCCGATTTTTGCAATGGCCCATTAACGATGGCCTTTGTTTGCCCAGACTGTAAACAATTGAGTGAATTTTTATCGTGAATTTTATTTTTGTCAATTTTTGTCAAATGCCACAATGTTTCTCGCTTTTCTTTTAAATCAAGCCAAAAGTTATAATCAGATTCTTCTTAAAGAACCAAAGAAATCCCGAAGAATTTTTTATCCAATTGCTAATGCGGCAAAGCCTTATAGCATCGTTTTTCCTAAAGTTGAAAATCTTGAAAGAGATTACTCCACAGGTGATCTAAATTCAATTGTTGATCAAATTTCTAACGAGTTCAATCTTGAAAGACATTGAGTTCAGAATTATTTTAATCTCAATAAATGGAGTTCATATCCCAAACAACTTTTTAACAGGATTGATTTTAATGCGCAAGAAGAAGGCTATAGAGTTGTAATATTGGCCGGAACTGTTATCAAAATTACCAAAACAAATGGAGTTTTCACTGTAAATTGTCGCATGGCAAAATCATCCTGCAACATTCTTGATACCCAACTATATGCAGTATTACAACTACTAGGGCAAATGAAGAGAGTCCCTCTTTCTACTTTAATGAAAAGTGGCTTAGACCGTAAACTTTGCTTGTATAAACCATGGCAGCCACTTTCTGCGGCAGCAATATCTGATATTTACAATGAACTGAATGGCAAAATTCAAGGCCTCATTAACACATATAAATCCATTTAAATATGATTGTATTCTTCAGAGAATAAACATACAAGATATATTTCTTATTATCTTTTTAATGTAATTTTATCTTTTAAATTTTTATATAACATCATTTCTTTGAAATTTAGGAATAGTTTCATATCATTCCCATCTAATTGAAGCAATTTCCATTGAATTAGAATGCTTTTTATGAGACAATTAAGAGTCTTGAGAGAATAACTTTTTTACTTAAGGCTGCACTTACTCCCATCTGACTTTAATTCAAATTTTTGACAACTGGCGTGAAGCGTCATTGAAAATTAACCTTAAACATCTGAATTGAAGACCATGTCATAGGAGCATAAGTGCACTCTTTACACGTTTATTTAATTACTTTTATAGAATAATTCATTGCGTATATGGGAAGAAAATTAGATTGGATGAAATCTTGAAGTTCGGGATGACTATCATAATTCGAGAGTATCGTTTATCAATTACAATAAATATGCGTTGGTCATAATAAGCAAAAATAATCAAAATCAAGATAATTCCAAATTTGTCAAATTTCTATATAGAGAAGTTCTGAAAATATAACAAGGCAAACTCTGAGAGCAGTGTTGGAATAAACATTACACTAGATTATCAATATGACCATTCAAAAAATTGATAATATTGCCTGAATTTGACACTTTGATATGATTTCGATCCGGAATTGTATTTTTTTGTTATGATTTTGACGTATTATATAATTCTTGGAAAATAGATGTTTTATTTTTTCAAACCAATTAAAATTTTTTCTCTAGGAAGTACAGATTTAAAGTTATATGATAATTCATTAGATTTTTTATAAAAAATTGATCGATCACCTAATAAACACCACAAGTTATGATCAAGATCTAATTGGAAATCTAAGGTCATGTTATTTTTTTGAAATTTTCCATCCCCAGAATGGATAGTTGAATTTAACAAAATATATGATTTCGTGATCGTAATAGAATCTTTGCTATTATATGTTCCAAATAATGAATCAGATCCTTGATTATTTCCAACAAATATACATTTATCAAATGATGCTGATTTACCTCCAGATAAATCTCCAACTGTCAACATTCCTGGATATCCTCCAGCTTTTATTACTTTATTATTTGAAAATATACTATTTTTATAGTTAACAGAAATAGATGATCCACATATCATACTAGTTGCGTCATTTTTATCAAAAAGTGAAAAATTGACAAGTGAAGTTGAAGTTGAACTTGTCATCCAGATGCCTGAACAAATTTTTGCAAAGTTATTTGATATATTGTTTTGTTCAAATGTAATTTTTCCATCAGATAAATAAATATTACAATCTCCGATATTTTCACCTCGATTACAATAAAAAACCGTTGTTTCTGAAAATTTGTGAACACTGTCAAAATTTGACACGGATACATATGAAAAGGATCCTTGAGAATTTGATTTAGAACTGAAGCTACAAACTTTTTGAATTGCTTATTCTCCTTGCTCGAAAAAAATTGATCCTCCAGAATCTGAATTCGTCGAATTTTCAAATAAACTCGTAGAAATCAAAAATTTGATATCATTAGATGATAAATTTATTACACCATTTTCTCCCAAGTTGACAAATTTAATATTTTTAATGTAAACTTGTCCCTTTAGATTTGAATATAATTTCCTTTCAGTGTAGATATGGGAAGGATCAGGTTCTGAGTGATAAACATCGAACCATTCACTCTTTTTAACTGGCAATATACCCTCTTGATAATTAAAATCTGAATTAAAATTCAGATTTAATTTCGAACATTGAACTATCTGAATGCTAGAAATACTGTGTTATCTGTTTATACATATTATCTTAATTCATTTTGTTATTGAGGAGTCGCGTGATGAATAAAGATGTGTAATGCCAGGTCTTAAAAAAAAATAAAAATGCCAGGCCTGTAAAATTTATTATGTATGAAGTAATTCAAAAGGAAGGAGAAATTGATTCTCAACTCTTTCAAGATATAAAAATTACAAATTACAATGGCTGTCATAAAAAAGTCGATTTTGTAAATTGTCAAATTTCCATACCGACTTATTTCAATAGAAAATTTTTATCGTCGCAAATTGATAATTTTATTCTGTATTTTTATAAAATGAAAAACAGTTTAGTTCAAAAAGGTTTCTGTCATGCTAAAAAACATTTTTGATTTAAATGATTTCATTGATCCTGGATTAATTATGACTACTTCATAAGAACATAGCTTTGCAGGATCGAGACTTAAAACAAGATTAATCGTTGTATTTTTATAAGAAAATCTTCCTTCTCCCGAATAGAGAGTGGAGGTATTTAATATATATGAATTAGCAATAACTATTGAATCAAATTGAGAAGAGGTTCCAAATAATGAATCATAACCTTGATCATTTGATGAAATATGACAATTATCAAATGTCATTTCATTTTTTAATTCTACAATGATCATTCCTGAATAAACAAATGGTTCAATTATTTTATTATTCGTTATTAAACTGTTTTTAAATTTAGCGGGAATACTAGTATCACATAACATACTATTGCCATCATTCTTATCAAATGATGAAAAATCAATATTTGCAGCAGATAAAGATGCCCCACCCATCCAAAGCGCCGAATAATAATCAGCATAGTTATTTGTAAGATTATTATGATCAAATTCTATTTTCCCAGAGTTTAATCCTATTGTTGCTTGTCCTTTTTTAATGCCCCTGTTGCTGTAACATATCGAGGATTGAGATACAATGTTTATTCTATTAGAATCAGTCACCTGGAGAAATGAAAATGGTCCAAAACTACTTGATTCGGAACCAATACTGCATATCTTACGTAGTACAGACTCTCCTTTTTCAATATAAATTGACCAACCTGCTCCTGTGTTTGATGAATTTTCAAAAGAACAGGTGGAAATAAGAGATTGAAGATCACGAGAATTCATATATATCACACCATTTTCACCCATATCATAGAATTTAACATTTTTAATATAAATTTTTCCTGACCCAAACCGATAATTTGCTTTTGATGTGTAAATTGGAGAAGGATCTGGTCTAGAATGATAAGCATCATACCATTCGCTCAGTTTAAAATGGATATTTGGTACAAAAAATAAAGCTGCTTAAATATTGAAAAAATTTTTGGTTCATATGCATTTTCCATTGTTATAAATGATTGAGTCATTTTAAGCATTCATATGATTCAATTGAATCACATGAATACCAAAATAACTACATTGGATTTTTGATTTCTTTTTCAATTAAAAAACGACTCATATTTCAAAATAAAACGATATTTTTGATGTAGTGATTAAATTATAATCAAATCAAATGGCATGTGTTATTATCAGATAAAACTTGTCAATTTCATATATTACTCATATTTAAATTGATTTGGAAATAGAAAACTGAGATTATTCAATAATTAAATGAAATTATAAATGGTGAAATTATTTACTTTCATAGTACAAGGTATTGCATGATGTGTCAATAATTATATTAACTAAACATGTATTTTTTTAAATGAAAAATTAATTTGTTATTTCAATCTTGTTAATAATTTATTTGCCAACTATAATAGGGGAAATCCCAACCGTTTTTTAAAATCACGATTATAAATTAAATACTGTGGAAGTTGTAATAAATCTTATTTGGTGAGAATTATCATAAGAACTCTATCATGTGGCCATATTAATGTAAAAATTGTAACAAAAAGAGCAAAAATGCTACAGAACTGGGTATATTAATCAATCCAATAATAAAATGGTTTCTTGTTCATGAAGGTACAATCTAAGATATTGTCCTTCTGTAAAAAAATTTGAAATTTGTTTGAAAAATTTTAAAATTTCAATATAAAATAAAATTAAACTTTAATTTAAAGGCATTGAATTATTGATTTCATCAAATTATTAAGCAATAAATTTAAAATTTTAATTTAAATTGCTTTGTATGCGTTTAGCTGGCCTTCAATTTTGCTGTATAAAGTGTTGTATATTCTTGTGATGTCTTCACCTGATATACGATCGGTGGGCCTGACAGCAATTCTAATATTCGGAACAGCTGAATTTCTCCGCATTCCAAATGATCTATAAAAATCGGGTTGAGCAATTCCCCGGACATTTGCTTGGCGACAATTGACAGTGTATACACCGTTCGACTTAGTAATTTTGACAACTGTGCCACCAAGATAGACGGCTCTTTGATACTTTTCAACTTGGTTAAAATCTACTCTGAAAAAGAGATTTTTGGAAAGCGAAGCCCACTTGGAACGTGCGAAATAATTAATAACATTATTTGGTTCGAGATGGAAATCGTTAGCTATTTGATTTGCGATTGATTGGAGATCAGTCGTTGAATAATCTCTTTCACTGTTGGCTGTTCTCATTTCATCGACCGTTACAGGACCATCCCAGTTACTAACAGGTGCCACTGAATAAGATTTGCGTGCACAATGACAGAAGAAACCAAATAAAGGCAACATTTTTTAACTTTTGGCATTTGACAATTTTGACAACTTTTTGGAGTTTTCAAAATTTGAATCAAAGATTTTTCGATAATGTCATTTGACAATTCTGACAAAATCTTATTTTGGTGGCATTTTACAAATTCATAATAAGATTCTTTCCAACACTAATTATAAAGGCTTTCTTACATAAAAATATCTTTAATATGCAAGTTTTGTAAATAGAATGCATTTGTTATTGAAATTTGTTGTATAATTTTGCTAATTTAAACATTTCATTCATAAATGATATTGAAAACGAAGAATTTGTGACAATATTAGTATGTATATATATATATATCATTATGTATTCAAAGACTATATATTATTATGTATTCATATACTATATTATATAAAAAACTAAAATGTTCACCATAGTATTAGCATTTAATTTATAGTTTTTGATTGATTATTGAAATATTTAATGAATCTAACTAATTTGATGAAAATTGATTTGTTCATTTTCTATACCAATGTACAACTTTCTCATTTAGGATCTTTAAAACAGATATAAAAGGGAATCAATCGCATACGCTTGAAATATATTCTATGGGAAAAATAATAATAAAATATTTCTATTTAGTAAGATGTTGCCATAACAGTTTTGATGATTTATTGCAAATACTTCTCATAGCGGAATGTTTAATAGATGCATTGATAACTTTGCATTTAATCATCAAACCTCGAGATATTCCAGAATATTCAATCATTTTAAGATATTCAACAGTTGTGTTGGAAATAATGAGAGGACATTGGATTGATTTACAATCACTGAATGCGTTGTTTTCGACATATTGAACTGAGAGAGGGAAGTTTATGTATTTTAATCGAAGACATTTGTTAAATGAATTTTCTTCAATTAAAGAAACACTATTCGAAGAAATACTGATATTTTCGATATTGTTACTAGAGATGTGAAAACTTAAATTCTATAATCCCTGGGATGCACTTTCTTCGATTTTTTTTAAATTTTTGGGATAAATTTTGACATCTTTTTTTTGCTGGCGACCCCCCCGTTCACAAAAAAAATATCGAGCGAAGGGGGGACGCCAGCAAAAATCGAAAATTTTTTTGGTGAACAGGGGGCCGCCAGCGAGAACCTTAAAAATAAACTTCAGAAAAAAAATCTAAAAAGAAAAAAAAAGCGAAAAGGCCCTGGAGTCGAACTGGGAACTTAAGGCTTATACTATGACTCTTACCACTGAACTATATTATCTGTGGATCGGTGCTTTATAAATTGTAAATATAAAGATTATCATAACGAATTAAAATGTAAAATAATAAATATTACTCTTATATATTATTAGATTTTAAATTACAAAATAATAATAACAAAAAAAATATTCATGACCGGAGGTTTTAATTAATGTTTAATGAAAGAGAACGATTCATTATAAATTATTGAATGTTAAATTGTTGTAAAAACACATTGACATATTTGTGAAGAAAATGGTTATTTAATATTGAAAAATAAATAATAACAAAATGTTTATTTCATTTAGTTGCCATTAAGATATGACGGCTATTTAACAAGTTTTTCTTGGATCTTAACCGCCTAACGTTCAAAATTAACCTTTGTGCTTTGATATTACGTTCACATGTTGCCTCCGAAGGAGATGAACATAACAAGCGTAATGCTATTTCCGCAAGGATGGATTTTTCTCCAATTCTATGCGAGATCTCTTCCCAAGCATAATTTTGTGCCTCGTCCATCAGATCGTTCTCAAAGATGTCTGATTCCTTATTGATGAACGTATTATATAACGAGAGTACAAGCGTTTTTTGTCTTTCGTTCAATCGGAATTGAACCAAAATGCGCTTGAGGTAATCTTTAGCTGCTGTTAGATCATTTTCGGCAGTCTGATGATTATCCTCGCGTACATCTTGCAATGTAAGCCTAAGTTGATCATCAGATTCGACAATTCTACGAAATGTGCCTTCATCTGTTACATCAATTACAGCGTTTGTGTTACCTTCCTCAAAAATAGAATCCATGTAAATGTCCTGTAAATCTTCTGCCGGATCTTTATCAGGAATATGCTCACTTTGAAAGGAACTCAAGGGATCGGCCAAATCTTCTACTTCTTCGTTTTTAACAAACTTTCTATGGAAGTAGAACCTTCCTCTCGGCGTGAGAGAGAATGCCAAACACCATAGCCCACCAAAGTCAGAGTCCAAGGTATAGCTATCCAATGAAGATGCCAAGATGGATCCGAATGCATTATGCAAATTGGATGTCAAAAGATTGAGAGCTGATATGGCTTTACGAAGCCAAATGTAACAATTTGCCAACAATGCCTTATCCGATTCGAATACTAAGATTAGCTTTTTAAGAACAGCTAAACAATCTTTCAATTGTACGATTTTATCGTGATCTACATTTATATATTGCTTGATTTTGTTTTCGTACTTAAGAATAAAGACACATATATTATAGTCATATATCCATCTGGTGGATACATGCTGTGGACATTGTGCACCTATATCGTCAGCATGAATGCGACAAAGTTCTGCAATTCTGTGCACATCCTTTACTAAACTTTGTAACTGGTTGTTCTTGCCAGCAATATATTGATAGCTGTTGTGGATTCTGTGACACAAACAGGGAATAAGCAATATCTTGTAGTATTTTGGATCTCTGTCATGATAGAATGAATCATTCCAAGTATCTTTGAAGCATTTTAACTGTGCTGGTCCTCCGTCAACTACCACACTACCTATCTTGACTTTCCTAATGTCAATTCTGTTAAATCCTGCTGTTATTGCGGATTTATAATCCTGACTTGTCTGGCCATCCTTCATATCTATCGCCTCTACTGGGTATGGCTTCATTTGCTCCAACGGATTTGTTAAGACAAAATCAAGATTGTGGTAATCATGTGTCTTGCCTTCATCGATGGCGACACAAGTGTATGCTTTTTTGGCGAATTCGAGAACTTTAGCAAGGTGTATGCTGTTAGCAATAGCAATCATTCTATTTCGGATCTCATCACGTGTAATAGGCTTATATAATTTGTCAGCAAGTTTTTCCGGATTGATATTAGCTGACTGAAGTTGTTTGTATTTGTTCATCATTTGATATATTGTGAACATAATGAAAATCTTTGCAACATGCGTGAATTCTGGGGATGCAAATGTGTCTAAGGCAAGGTTGAACTTACCGGTAAAAATGGTCATTTCATCGTATACATTCGATAAATCCAACATTGGATCATTTGGCTGTTTACCTTTATTGTAGTAGTCAAGTAATGTTTGCTGCGATAATGCTTCTCCGGCCTGACATGTGTGAACATGAGTCTTAAGCCAGTTTTTATAATGATCCTCCCTTTGTTCTTGCATTGAACACCGGCAAACTACGCCATCAGATCGTGTCACAAGTTCATTGCATTTTACATACCACTTGGGACTACCTTCATGTTTATATCGCATGTAAACATGTTGTTTCGTTTCAAGATCGGGATATGTTGTGAACCCGACTTCTTTCATTAATGAAGTGATTTCTTAAGTTGAATAAAAACAAATTTGATTGAAATTCATACAAAATTTTTTTTATCATTATTATTTAAGATGCTTTTTTATGTTGAATTGTTAATTTTTTTATTTCCACCTGGGATATTTTGAATTGGGCTAGCCCAATCCCACCTCTCAATTTTCTCTCAATTGGGCAATGGGGATCCCATATAAAATGTATTGTAACAAAATTTTACATGCATAATATAGTACAATTAAACAACATTCTAAAAATATTAAATTCACATCATTTACTTGAAGATTTTATATTTTCAACAAAAATTAATACAATAATTACATTAAATTGATGAGATTTATAATATTTATTATAAATTAAAATATTATTACTCATTAATTTGTTGAAATATTGCATTTTAGTGGTAAAAATTAAAATTTAAGTTTACATGGAGAAAAAAAATTTAAATTCCAAAAAAAAATTCAATTGGGATAACGATAGGGACAAAAATTTAGAATCCCCATATGCTTGGGATAAAATCACATGACTATTGTTACTATGATTAAACGAATAACTACATATTACATCACAATTAATAATAAGAACAGTGTCTTTTGAATTTCTCGAATGATATACAAGATATTTTCCTGTTGTATTTTTTAAATAGATAGTATTATCAAAACATTCATATTTGTTTGATGAAAAGTCACTTATATTTGCAAGAGATTTGCATCCTGAAAAAGAATTTATAGACATATGGGTAATAGAATTTGATGATTCAAAAGTCACTGATTTGAGATTCTTACAATTCAAGAATGAGTATTCATATATAAATCGAATTGATTTTGGAATATTAATTTGTTGTAAACTAGCGCAGTTCTCAAATGCTTTGATTCCAATCGAAATTGTTCCTTCTCTAATAGTAATATCTCTCAAATTATTGCACCCACAAAAACAACTTTCTGGGACATTGCTTATATTGATAACCTTATTCAAATTAATACAATTCTCAAATGCGTTGTTCATAACAATGAAATGGATATTCCAAAAGATACAGATGTCAAACTTATGCAATCTTTAAATAGTGCAGCTCCTAAATAACCCAAATTGCTACAAGTAATAGTTAATGTTGATAACTCTAAACAGTTTCGAAATGCATATTTCTCAATAATTGAAAGCTTAGAATCTTTTTCAAAAATTAATATTGGAACTGTTGAATTCTCAAATGCACTTTCTTTGATTGTTGTTACTGCCTTCGGGATCATAACACTATCAAAATTTAATCCCCAAAATCCATAGATTTCCGTTTTATTAGAATTCATAATAAATGATTCTTCGGTCAAAATAAGATCCGAAGCATTCAAAAAAGAAACAATTACATTAATTTTATCATAGATTACTTCCTTAGAAAAAAGAATTTTGCAATTGAATGATAATGTTGTATGATCTGGAAAATAAGTTGAACTAATATTCATAGGTATATTTGGAAAAACAATAAGTTTCAGAGGATAGCAACCCAAAAAAGCATCAAAACCTATGTACTCTAATGGACCTAAAATTGTAACGTTAATCAAAAAATGGCACATATCGAAAGCACAAGATTCAATCATCTTTATATTTTCAGGAAGAGTAAGTGATACAATTCTTGTTCTTCCAAAGCATAATCTTGGTATGGATAAAATAGATTTAGGAAATAAAAATGACCTCAGATTTGTACAATAAAAACAACCTTCCCCGATACTTGTAACTGAATTTGGAAGTTCAATTTCAAAAATATTTAGATTTGAAAAACAATAATTTCCTATGGTACGAACGGAATTATGAATTATAATTTTGGAAAAGCTTGAATAATAGAAACAATAATCACCCAAAACTATTACAAATTCAGGAATTAAATAAGTATCGAATGACTTATTGTATACAAAAAATAATATACTTCGATCTGTTGAATAAAGTTCTTTATCTTCAAGGATTAAGTGATCATTCTTTGGATGTGCTGTTAGATTTATTAATTTATCTAGTGGCAATGCATTTCCACTAACATTTGATACTTTTTCTGGAATTTGAAATGAAGTTATTGCTGTACTTGAAAAACATGAACTTTCTAAAGAAATCAAGCTAGAATTTTCTTCAAAAATAACTTCTTTCAACTTATAACAGGCTGAAAATGCACTTTCGCCCAAAATATGAAGTGAAGAAGGGATGGTAACACTTGTAACTATATCAAGCCAAGCAAAAGCACTATATTGTATTTCGCGAAGTCCATTTGGCAAAAGTATCTGAGAAACTTTATCACAGTTAGAGAAAGCCCACATTGAAATTAATTTAAGTTTGCTACACATTGTTAAATTAATTATTATGAGATTCTCACAATGTTGAAAACATGTTGATTCTATTTTTGTTAAGTTAGGATTGTCTTCAAATGTAAATGTAATTAAAGATTTTAGACCGTTAAAACAAGAGAAAGCTAACATTTCACATTTAGCGGATATTCTCAGATGAGGTGAAGAATCCTTAACAGAAAAAAGGGTTTTACCATCGCTTGAATAATATTTTGCTTCAATATCTTTGTAAACGATGTAAAGGGAGAGAATCATTTAGAAAATATTGCTTTTCTTCTAGGGTTGTTAAAAATATCAAAAATTAGCGTTTTGAAGACACCATGGTGTCTTATAATTTTCCCTTCCTTATTGGCGTGTAGAAATAAATGCGCCAATAGATTGAAGAAGAATTGTTTTTCTCTTAATGAACTTTAAGCAAAACGGCTGTTTCAGTCATTAATTCTTAAAAATAAAAAGGGTAAAAACTAAATACAATGGGTAAAATTCAATAGTGTCTGTGCTATCGTTCAATTTGAAGGTGTCTTTTGAAACCGCAAGACACATTGAATTTTTGAATAGTGTATTATGGTTTGACAGACACCAATGAAAAAAATAAAATGATATTTATTTTAAATATATAAGATCCTTATATAAAATATAAATATTTTATCGTTTTATTTTCTTGTTTTAGAAATGTTTTTTATTGAAAAATCAATAAAACTAACTCCAAAATAAAATTTTTGATTTAAAGACACTATGATGACACCAGGCAAATCTTCCAAGACACCTATCGTCGGGAATCTAACAACCCTATTTTCTTCTATGTTTTAGCAATTATAAAGCATTTAAAAGTTAGTAAAATTACCACAATATTTTATTTGAATTTTACTCGGATTTTAAAATGGTATAAGATGATCAAACAAATAAAACTCAAATAAGATTGCAATTTGTTGTAAATATTAGGCTATTCATTAATAAAGCAATCAAAATGTGAAAGAAATACATGGAAACTCATATGGATTTGATATAAAGATTTAAAAAAATCAGATTTAATTTTTTGCGGGAGTATTCAAAATTTATTGATATTAAGTTTCAAATATCTCGTTATCTATAAATTTTTTAAACATGGTTGTTTCAGATAATGTTTTAGCATAATGAGAAGCATGCAATAAGAATGAAATTTCGGTCAATAAACTGTTCTATAAAAGTTTCAATATTTTTCGATTGGAAAATTTTATATGGAGAAATTTTTTACAGATAGACTTTGAATTTTTTAGATAAAAACAGTGGCATATCATGAGCCATTGTACCCTTTATAGAATGCAACTTATTCAATACACAATCGTTTGCTAAATCATTAATGGATCTAAGTCTCGTTCATTACGCTGCTGAGTATTGGAAAATGCATAAAATTATATAGATCGGCAATACCATAACAATGGTAAAATGATTCCTGCTAATTAGCCTTTCAGATACAAAAAAATCTTTATTTTACGATTGAACTAGTATCATTCTGATTAATTATTCAAATATGTTACAGATGTATTCCTATTTATTCACTATTTTATAGAATTTTACATCCAAAATCAATTTCAGTAATAAAGCACATCTATTCTGCAGTGTACTTATTCATATCCTGCTATATTTACTCTTGTGTTTGAATAAACATAATTTTTATTTTACATCATATCTTCCTGAAAATCTCCCCAAACTTAAATAATTTACTTCCAAAATAGAAATTAACTTCCAAATCGGCATCATTATGATGAAGAACACATATGATAATATTAACGAAAATGTTCCAAACAAAAAAAGGTTCTCACATAAAGGTCAAATCGCAAAACACTAAGTATAAAGGCTTACGTACATAAAAATATGTTTCATATACTAATGTTGTAAATATTATTAAAATGCGTTGAAATGATGCTAATTGTTCTTAGAGCACTTTGTCTGGATGCAAAGCTTTCAATTGTAGCAAGTTTGGAATCTGGTTCAATTTGATAGGCTTAAACTTTTTTCGAACTTGTCGGATTTGCGCAAATTCTTTACAATTATTGTTTGCTGCAAGATGAAGAGCTGTTTGTCCATTTAGATTTTAAAAAAGCTAAATTTATAATAAATCATATAGAATCATGTTTTCAAACATATTAATATTCAAAGAAGATTAGATATTCAGCACAAAATTTTTTCTTTCCTTAGTGAGTTTCTTCTTTCTTTGGCTTATCTTCTGTCTTCTTATCATCTTTCTTCTCTTCCTTCTTTACATTTTTCTTTTCTTTGTTTTCTGGTTCATGAAGAGAAGATTGTGCAGGAACATTGTGCTGTGCCCACATGTTCTTGAACTCTTCAATCTCATCATCACGAATGTTCTTCATTGGCTCGTGTTTCTCAACTTTACTATCTTTGTCAGTAACTTCATGAACTGTGAGAGACTTGTTACCGATGCGCTTTGTATCATTTGGCTGATATTCTTAGATGAGGAGAAGAATCTTTGACATTATTAAGTGTTTTTCCATCATTTGAATAGCAATTTGATTCAATATCTTTGTAAACAATGTAGAGAAAGAGAATCATATTGAATTATTATGAATTTAATTGTTGAAAATATTAAATTTTGAATTGTTTTCCTAAAGTGATATTATTTGAAAGAATACTTTAGCTTAGATATTACATAGATTTTGTAATGAAATTTTATATAAAATGAAACATATTTCGGAATGGATTGTTTTTATTAGTATTTGGCCCCTATTAATAGATGAAAATCAGAATCGCTATAGGAAATATTGTCCAATGTAATATAATTTCATTCAAAAAATTAAAAATCTATCAAAAGATCAAAGTCTGCCATAACTTCAATGATTAGCTCGATTCAACGGAACATTAAATTCGAGCATTTAAAAGCTTAGGCAAACTTGTTTTATTTTGCTTTCACAGTGATAACTGTTATCAAAATTTCTTGTGATTTTAAAATTGAATGGAATGTAAAATCAAATTCAGATTAATATATATGATTCTTTCATTAATTAATCAAATGTATTATCGTAATATTTTAACTGCAAGCTTATTCAATTTAGCTTTGCATCTATTTTTAATTGTTCTCAGACAATAACAATAGTATAATTTTAAATGCTAATATTGTATTCTCACAATTTTGATAATGTTTTGAAATTTTTGTTAATCTCATTGCAATTACATCGGATATATCTTCTTGGAGGTGCAATAATTTAGAACGAATAACCATGACAAAATAACGTATTTTTTTGCTTGACTGCTTTTATTTAAATAAAATTATTGCAAATTTACATTTGAGTATTTTAACACAAATGTCATAAATTTGTATACAAATGTTCAGAATTTAATTTTGTCACTTTTCATAAATTTTCAGATCAATTGGCTAAATAAAAGAGATAGGTATTTATAAATAAATTGTATTTTTATTTATATACTGTTAGGTATTTCTGAGAAACCTTTAGTTCTGCGTTTTCTCAAGATGCAAATCAATGCTTTTTCTAAATTCTTCATTTGAGCAAAAGTGCTGTCAAAAATTGTTTCTACTTTAGGAGGAATTGTTAATTCTTTGACTGATACACATCCATAAAATGCAGGTTCTCCAATGTACTCAACAGAGTCTGGAAATGTGATTGAAGTTAATTCTGTGCAAAAACAAACCGATATGTTTCCAATATACTAAAATGTATTTGGAAGAATAATTTGGCTTACTTTCAAATTATTCTCATTATGCAAATTATAAAAGTTTAACTATACTTAGAAACGAAATAGTAGATAAGTTATTTAGTAAGATAGCAGAGGACTTTTGCATATTTGCAACATATTCTTTTCATAAATTGTAGTTTGTGAGTTCCATGAACAACATGACATTGAATCATCAAAAATCGAGATATTCCGGAATATTCAATCATTTGAAGATATTCAACAGTTGTGTTGGAAATAATGAGAGGACATTGGATTGATTTACAATCATTGAATGCATTGTTTTGGACATATTGAACTGAGAGAGGGAAGTTTATGTATTTTAATCGAAGACATTTGTTAAATGAATTTTCTTCAATCAAAGATACACTATTCGAAGAGATACTGATATTTTCGATGTTGTTACTATAATTAAATGAATAACTACAGATTACATCACAATTAATAATAAGAACTGTATTTGTTGAATTTCTCAAATGAAAAATAAGATATTTTCCTGTTTCATTTTTAGAGTATAGAACGTTATCAATACATTCATAATTATCTGAAAAAAAGTCACTTATATTCGCAAGAGATCTACATCCTGAAAATGCACTAAGAGAAATACTAGAAATAGAGTTAGAATATTCAATTATTATAAACTTAAGTTTAATGCAATTAAGGAATGCATTTTCGGAAATAATTTGAATAGATGATGGGATAGAAACACTATGTAATGAAGTACAATTATCAAATGATTTAACACCAACTGATGTTGAACCTTCTCCAATAGTAACTTTATCCAATTTAATGAACCCGCTAAAACAGTTACTAGGTACATTACTTATATTGGTAACAATTTGCAAATTAATACAATTATCAAATGCATTTTTCATAATAACAAAATCAGTAGATTCAAAACTAACAGATGTTAAACTTTTACAATATTGAAATACTGAATATCCTAAACATTCAAAATGTGTGGAAAAAATGTTAATAGATTCAATATTGCTCTTTCTGAATGCATAACTTTCAATTGTTAAAAGTTCGGAGTCTTGTTCAGTAGATACAAACCGAATTATGGAATTTTCGAATGCACTTTCTTTAATTGTTTGCACTGATTTAGGAATTGAAATACTAGTGATATCATACCCCCAAAATTCATATATTTCGGTTTGATCAAAATTCATAATCAGTGCATCTCGATTAATAATAAGATTTGATTCATTTCGGTAAGATATTGAAATATTTGTTATCCTTCCAATTGCAAATGAAGAAAATAGTATTTTACACTTAAATGAAAATCTTAGTTTTGGAGACTGATTCGTTACGATAGCATCTGTTAAAGTTACATTCATCGTCGAATTTGGGAAAATAATGAGTTCAAGATTGTCACAGTCTTCAAATACATCAACTCCAATATAATCTAATGATCCTAAAATTGTGGCATTTATCAGATTTTTACATTCGTAAAAAGCTTTGTTTCCAATTCTTTTCACATTTTCTGGAATTGTAATTGTTACAAGATCGGAAGATTCAAAACAAGAATCAGGAATGCTTGAAATAGAATTTGAAATTGTGATTGTTCTGATTTCTGATTTGTGAAAACAATTGTCTCCAATAGTTGTCACTGAATTTGGAATTGCCATTGCTCTTAAATTACTTCCATAAAATAAATAGTCGCTTAAAGTAGTGACATTGTTGAGATAATAAAATGGATTTTTATCTTTATAATAGTTAAGATATAATATACTTCCATTTTTTGAATAGATTATACCGTGGCTTAATTCTAAGTACTTATTAGAATCAGTAATACCAAGTACAGATAAAAAGATGTCATAAAATAGACATCCACTGACCTTCATTACATTTTCTGGAATTGCGAATGCACCAATGCGTGTACTATCAAATGCCCAACCTCCGATTGAAGTTAAATTTGAATGAACTGGAAAAATAACTTTTTCTAAAAGAGAACAGCCAAAAAATACATAATCATCGATAATTTCAACTGAAGTTGGAATTGTAACATTTTCGACAAATTTAATATTGGAAAAAGCAGAATGTTTTATTTCAAGAAGGCCATCTGGCATAGGGATGCGTTAAACACGCCATTTGACCGGGCGTACATTTTTTTTGTTCGCCCAAAAATTTCGCCATTTGAGAAATTCAAAAATTAAAAATAAAATTTTAATCTTGATTTTTTTATTTTCGTGATTTTTTTGAAACTTACATAAGCGATGAAATACTTTTTTTAAGTAATCGTTTATTATATATAAATATATCTTAATAAATTTAATTCCTTAAGGTAGAGCGTGTTCAAATTTAAAATCTCATACAATATTTTCTTAATGGCGTATTTTTCTGAGGTCGCCCAAATAAAGGCGAATTCAAAATTGAGAACTCCAAGGCGTATGGCGAGTATTCAAAATGTACGCCACTTACAAAATATTGAATGTGGATTATCAATTTTTTGGCGTGTTCAATTTCAAATTATATTTATGTTTATTTTATTCAGTATAATGCTAAGAATTAAAATATAAAATTCATAGAATTTTTTCTTTGAAAATATTTTACATTTTTATTAAACCACTCCTAGACTAGTCATCAGGTTATCCTCAGATCATCCTCAGACTTCTCCTTATCAGATTACTCATCATCCTCAGACTACTCCTTAGACCCCTCCTCATCAGACTACTCCTCAGATCTTCCTCATAAGACTCCTCCTCAGATCTTCCTCCTGAGACTACTCTTCAGACTACTCCTCAGATCTTCCTCATAAGACTCCTCCTCAGATCTTCCTCCTGAGACTACTCTTCAGACTACTCCTTAGAGTCCTCCTCATCAGACTAGTCCTGAGACTAGTCCTCAGACTACTCCTGAAACTACTCCTCAGATTATCCGCAGACTCCTCCTCAGTCTAATCCTCAGACTCCTCCTCAGATTATCCTCAAACTCCTCCTCAGTCTAATCCTCAGACTCCTCCTCAGATTATGCTCAGATTATCCTCAAACTCCTCAGATTATCCTCAGACTACTCCTCAGATTATCCTCAGACTACTCCTCAGATTATCCTCAGACTACTCCTGAAACTACTCCTCAGATTATCCTCAGACTCCTCCTCAGATTATCCTCAAACTCCTCCTCAGATTATCCGCAGACTCCTCCTCAGATTATCCTCAAACTCCTCCTCAGATTATCCGCAGACTCCTCCTCAGATTATCCTCAAACTCCTCCTCAGTCTAATCCTCAGACTCCTCCTCAGATTATGCTCAGATTATCCTCAGACTACTCCTGAAACTACTCCTCAGTCTAATCCTCAGACTCCTCCTCAGATTATCCTCAGACTACTCCTCGGTCTAATCCTCAGACTCCTCCTCAGATTATCCTCAAACTCCTCAGATTATCCTCAGACTCCTCCTCAGATTATCCGCAGACTCCTCCTTAGATTATCCTCAAACTCCTCCTCAGTCTAATCCTCAGACTCCTCCTCAGATTATCCTCAAACTCCTCAGACTACTCTTCAAACTACTCCTCAGATTATCCTCAAACTCCTCAGACTACTCCTCGGTCTAATCCTCAGACTCCTCCTCAGATTATCCTCAAACTCCTCAGACTACTCCTCAAACTCCTCGGATTATCCTCAAACTCCTCAGACTACTCTTCAAACTCCTCAAATTATCCTCAGACAACTCCTGAAACTACTCCTCAGACAACTCCTCAGATTATCCTCAAACTCCTCAGATTATCCTCAAACTCCTCAGATTATCCTCAGACAACTCCTGAAACTACTCCTCAGACAACTCCTCAGATTATCCTCAAACTCCTCAGACTACTCCTCAAACTCCTCGGATTATCCTCAAACTCCTCAGACTACTCTTCAAACTCCTCAAATTATCCTCAGACAACTCCTGAAACTACTCCTCAGACAACTCCTCAGATTATCCTCAAACTCCTCAGACTACTCCTCAAACTCCTCGGATTATCCTCAAACTCCTCAGACTACTCTTCAAACTCCTCAAATTATCCTCAGACAACTCCTGAAACTACTCCTCAGACAACTCCTCAGATTATCCTCAAACTCCTCAGATTATCCTCAAACTCCTCAGACTACTCCTCAAACTCCTCAGACTACTCCTCAAACTCATCAGATTATCCTTAAACTCCTCAAATTATCCTCAGACAACTCCTGAAACTACTCCTCAGACAACTCCTCAGATTATCCTCAAACTCCTCAGACTACTCCTCAAACTCCTCGGATTATCCTCAAACTCCTCAGACTACTCTTCAAACTCCTCAAATTATCCTCAGACAACTCCTGAAACTACTCCTCAGACAACTCCTCAGATTATCCTCAAACTCCTCAGATTATCCTCAAACTCCTCAGATTATCCTCAAACTCCTCAGACTACTCCTCAAACTCCTCAGACTACTCCTCAAACTCATCAGATTATCCTTAAACTCCTCAAATTATCCTCAGACTCCTCCTCAGATTATCCTCAAACTCCTCAGACTACTCCTCAAACTCATCAGATTATCCTCAAACTCCTCAGACTACTCTTCAAACTCCTCAAATTATCCTCAAACTCCTCAGACTACTCCTCAGACAACTCCTCAGATTATCCTCAAACTCCTCAGATTATCCTCAAACTCCTCAGATTATCCTCAGACAACTCCTGAAACTACTCCTCAGACAACTCCTCAGATTATCCTCAAACTCCTCAGACTACTCTTCAAACTCCTCAAATTATCCTCAGACAACTCCTGAAACTACTCCTCAGACAACTCCTCAGATTATCCTCAAACTCCTCAGACTACTCCTCAAACTCATCAGATTATCCTCAGACAACTCCTGAAACTACTCCTCAGACAACTCCTCAGATTATCCTCAAACTCCTCAGACTACTCTTCAAACTCATCAAATTATCCTCAGACAACTCCTGAAACTACTCCTCAGACAACTCCTCAGATTATCCTCAAACTCATCAGATTATCCTCAGACAACTCCTGAAACTACTCCTCAGACAACTCCTCAGATTATCCTCAAACTCCTCAGACTACTCTTCAAACTCATCAAATTATCCTCAGACAACTCCTGAAACTACTCCTCAGACAACTCCTCAGATTATCCTCAAACTCCTCAGACTACTCCTCAAACTCATCAGATTATCCTCAGACAACTCCTGAAACTACTCCTCAGACAACTCCTCAGATTATCCTCAAACTCCTCAGACTACTCCTCAAACTCCTCGGATTATCCTCAAACTCCTCAGACTACTCTTCAAACTCCTCAAATTATCCTCAGACAACTCCTGAAACTACTCCTCAGACAACTCCTCAGACTACTCTTCAAACTCCTCAGATTATCCTCAAACTCCTCAGATTATCCTCAAACTCCTCAGACTACTCCTCAAACTCCTCAGACTACTCCTCAAACTCATCAGATTATCCTTAAACTCCTCAAATTATCCTCAGACAACTCCTGAAACTACTCCTCAGACAACTCCTCAGATTATCCTCAAACTCCTCAGACTACTCTTCAAACTCCTCAAATTATCCTCAGACAACTCCTGAAACTACTCCTCAGACAACTCCTCAGATTATCCTCAAACTCCTCAGACTACTCTTCAAACTCCTCGGATTATCCTCAAACTCCTCAGACTACTCTTCAAACTCCTCAAATTATCCTCAGACAACTCCTGAAACTACTCCTCAGACAACTCCTCAGATTATCCTCAAACTCCTCAGACTACTCCTCAAACTCCTCGGATTATCCTCAAACTCCTCAGACTACTCTTCAAACTCCTCAAATTATCCTCAGACAACTCCTGAAACTACTCCTCAGACAACTCCTCAGATTATCCTCAAACTCCTCAGATTATCCTCAAACTCCTCAGACTACTCCTCAAACTCATCAGATTATCCTCAAACTCCTCAGACTACTCTTCAAACTCCTCAATTTATATAAAAATAAAAATAAAAAATTATTATTTTATTAATTTTTTAAAATAAGGTTAATAAAAAGTGACACTGGATAGTTTGTCCCACACTCAAAAATCAAAAAATTTAAAAATCCCCGAATCTGCAGGGATTTTAAAAAAATTTTTTTAGTAAAACTTAAGGATATTGTATCAGATATATTGGTATGGGCAAATTCAATTTTAATCCAATATTCATCGAGATATTAAGTTAACGAAGCTTTCAAAATTGAGAGGGTAATCCTCCTCCTCTCAAATAAACGTACATGCGGGTGCACCCTTAAATTTCCTAATTATTTTTTCTTCTTGGGAAAATTTTTGAATTCGAATAGAAAATTCAATAAATTGAAATTGGGTTGAAAGAATTCTCCATATTAACTTGTCATATATTTCAGATCATATAAAAATATGTGAATTATATCAAAAGTAGATGGGCGATACTTGTAAATCTATTTAAACTATTAGTTTGCTATTATTGAAGAACTTTATAATTTTTTTTTCTTATGTATGGAATTAAAGATAATTTTGCCGATTCCAACTGGTTTTTCTATATGAGTTAAATATGCCAAGTGAAATTGGACTTGCCAATATTGTAAATTGAAGTATGGACTATATATCGATTTTCATTGATTGATGAATAACTCGGACTAATGTAATTGTTGATAATGAAAAATAGTTTTCAATTGCTGGTAAGGGCCAATGTATGTTCAATAGCTCCGAAAGCAAAAAATGCACGTTTAGAAAAAGACGATAACGATTAAATTACAAAATCAATAACGACGACGATTAAATTACAAAATCAATAATGACCCACATTCCTGAATCATGCCAGCATATTTACTGTTGAAAATTCACAAGGTTAGAAATGAGGTTAGATATCGGGTTAGATATACCCTAAAATTAATTTTATCATTTATGAAAAATTTAGTATATACAGAAATTAAAAAATTTTTGAGTTAATTTATTTTAAAAAAATTATTTTTTTACTCTGGGTGTTAAAATCTATGATAAAAAAATAAATAAAAAAAATTTAACGTTAATTTTTTAAAGTTTATTTTTTAAAAATTATTTTTTTATTTTGTAAAGTGTCAAAAATTTTAACGTTAATTTTTAAGT